TTTTCTCTCGGTTTCCTTTCTGTGTATAGTTTCACATCCCTTTTACTCTTCTTTTTTTTACCCTCTTTTCTCACTTCTCTCGTTGTCGCCTTCGACCATGCGTTACTGTGGCGCCTGTTCATAATAATTAGCGGCCCACCAAAATAGAATTCTGTTCCTGTCTCTCAATTCTCGAAATATGATATGGACCATTCTGACATGATCGTTTCAAGAAGTCTTTTACCACCCTGAAAGCTCAAATATTTTTTAGATATATACGTACTTGAAAGTCACTTTTAAAATTTCTATTTCTATAAATACAATTAATTAAGATTTTTTCAATGGCGATTCATTTTTTTACACAGAGTTAAAAAGTATTATTAAAAATTAAGTCCAGTCAACAATTTAAGATTTTCAATATAAATATGAAACAATATAAGAAATAATATTAAAGTTTTGTTAGTTTTTATTCTAGTGCTTTTGTGAAAAAAGTAGTTTTTTCTTTTTATTTTAATTCGAAAAATGTACAGAAGAGAGAAAGTGAGGTTACGTTAGGTACACATAACCCTCACAACAGAAGGATATCCTCAGGATATCCTAAACTAATGTAGGATATCCTGAAAACGTCCATAGGATATCCTGAGGATATCCTCAGAACATCCAAACTACCGTTACGTAGGATATTTTTGGGATATCCTGGGGATATACTGAGGATATTCTGGGATATCCTGAGAATATTTTAGGGATATCTTGAGGATATTCCAGGGATATCCTAGTGATATCGTGAGGATATTCTTGGGATAAATTTGGTATATCGTTAAAATATTCTAGAAATATCGCTAAGATCTCCCTAGGATATCATTATGATTCAAATTTTGACTATTTGAGATAGCGATTTTTTGATACAAATAGGTTTCCCGTGATTGTCAATCATCTTTCAAATCTGGGCCTTAAAGTTGTTAATTAAAGCATATATTTAAGCCAAAAATGCGATTTTCGACACTTTAAATTCGTTTTTTATGGAACTGACGAATGAAAAATTTTTGTTCTAACACACGCACCGAAAGTACATTTTAGATATCTTGGAAATACATTATAAATACATCCAAAAAATATGTTTTCCATTTTTATTTAATTAATTTGTATGTTAGGGTCGGATACCTTAGGGACATTTTTAGAACGACTCAAGGATATTCTAACCCTTAAGATAATATAGACATACTGTGGATATCCTTAGGACGTCCTAAGGACATCCCTAATTATTCCAGGGATATCCGCAGGATATCCTAATAATATCCGGGGAAATAATTAGGACATCCCTGGGACGTCCTATGGATATCCTTAGATATCCGTGTGATATCCCTAGGATATCCTAACCGCCGCTACTTTGGATATCCTTAAAGTATCCTTAGGATATCCCTGGGGTATTCCTAGGATATCCAAGGGATGTTTTTGGAATATCCTAGGATATCTGGTGCTGTTAGGGAACTGTAACTTATTAATATAATCAAAATATATCTTTTATAAATATATTATTTCGCACATGTGTTCACAACAATAACAACGTACAAAGTAGTAGTAGTGAAATTAACGTTGGCCCAAACTGGCGTTACGTTAATATAAAAAAAATTTTATAATAAGGTGTTTTTCCTAATGCACAATTGCAAAATCAAAGCTGAAGATAACAAATTTATATTGTCGACAAAACAAAAGAGACCTAATAAGAAGCAAAAAACTATTATATTTTGAAAACTATCCTAAACATAACCTATAATTGGTTTGCTTCTTAGGTTTTTTTTATTCTGATTAAAGAGTTACTTTTTGAATCTTTATTAAGAGATACTCTTCAGTAATTTGCAATATGTATATCTAGTGGCCTCAATCAATTTGACTCTTCTCAGTTTTGTTTTTAATTCGAATCGTTCTCTTTCTTTCTCTCTCTCTCTCTCTCTAGAAACAAGGATTTTCTTTCTTCACAAATTAATGAGCCATGTTTATTATTCAGTGAGCTACATTTGAATAACAGCTTAACTCGAAGAACGAAAGCTGCGAGAGCACATGAATAATGAAATTCGTTCATTCAATCTGACGTTTTCGTGTGACCTATTAAATGAACTCAATTGATCAAATATTTGCATAATTTAGTATTAGAGTGCATGAAAAAGGTACAATAATTCATTCTCGTTTTAATGATTTTTGTCAAATTAAAACCACTTACACACGTCAATTGCCATTTTTTTAAAAGTATCGCACCAATATTTTATTATCGTATATAGCAGCATTGAAATAAAAATAATTGTATTTTTCTTCTTTTTTTTTATTTTAATATTTTATTATATATAGTATAAAAAATATGAATCATTTACAACTTTTTGTTTTTTATTCCTCAACTTATATATATTTAAGATTCGTGATTTTCAATAGAAAATAGAGTTTTAAAGTTAGATAAAAATTTTTTTTGATATTCATTCGAATAAAAAAAATTATTATAATAAATATATCAACCCCTTGAACTATTCTTTTTTTGTGAGTTGAAAAGAATTTTTGCATTAGAGTTCAAGTATAATAACAGAAATTTAAGAGCAAATGAATTTAAAAATCTCACAAAACTTTTTAAGAATTCATGCTCGAATGGATTATTAAAGTTTTCGAAACAAAAATTTAAGGATGACGTTTTCTTTCGCCGCATATGGAGCGGCAATACAAATTTAAGTTCGAGTTCATAAAACTATATATATATCGTTGGTGCTCGTGACAAAAGTTGGCTATAAATGTTAAAAGAGCGAGTTGCAAAAACCGTAAAAGTTATTATTGACAAAACTATAACTTTTGGGGTCCATTTTCTATATACGAGCAAGTTACAAAGAAAAGGCAAAAATCACGTATCTCTCTCTCTATTTTTTTTTATCTCAACTATATCATCCACCCGAAACGACAAATAAAGTTATCATTTTGACGATATACCATTTCCTCGTCGATCTTTTACTGTTCTTCTTCAATGTGCACAAAGAGGGAGAGAGAGAGAGAAAGAGAGACGTTACTTCCAAGAACGTCTGTTTCAGTTCTGCTGCGGGTAACATCCGTTCTTTTTTTTCATTTTTTTTTTTTTTAGATTACGATCCTAGCTTACAAAACGTCTACGAAACAAATAAAAAAAAAGTTGCTTTTCTACAGTCGCAAATTCACTTTTGCGAATCTGTTAAATGACTCGCAAAATGCAGTGTTTACGTATTATACCTCGTTCATCTCTCTCTTTTCCTCATATTTTTTATCATCAAAAAATTGCTATTCGCGAAACTATTTTATTTCTCATAAAATTTGTTTTTATCTGCTTCTTAAAACTCTTCTTTTAGAGAGCATTTTGTATAATATCGACTATACCTTCTTTAAAAAGAAGAAAAATTTATGTGTGCGTTATACATGACATGGTAACACTATATATATATATACAGTGTACAGCATAATATTATACTACAAAGTTTTATGTGTTGTAAGCTTTTCTCCTCTACTGAAAATAATTTAAAATATTACTGCGCAACCATAGATGCCTTAAAAAACTACAGCGCAGCCGTATGTAATGTAAAATGTGAATGCGCATTAGAATACATATTTTTTTAAAACTACTGCGCAGCCTTACTAATAATTAATTAATAAATTACCATTAGCTATCATAGATTACTAGAAATTTCTATAAATTTCCATATTTTGCAATAAAGTTTTCCAAAAATTACTGTAAATCACTTTATACATTTCTGAAATTTTTTTGATTTTATGATCCCTAATTGTGAATCCAAGGCTATTTAATAAAATTCAAAATGGAGGATCCAATATGGTGGACAAAACTGTTTTGAGTTATGCTTAGTTGATGAAAATCAATACACTAAAGCGTCAATCGAGAACACGTCAGTCGAAAACAATGCTTGGGAACACTTGAGGGGAAGTGTAGAAGCGGGTAGGACAGCACTACACAATCGTCTGTTCTCGATTGACGTTTTAGTGTACTTTGGTGCTAATCTGATAGCTGATTGTTAATCTGATGTCAGTTTTGAAAATTCAAAATGGTGGATATAATATGACGAATTTTTTTTTCGGATTTTACCAAATTCACTGGATAATCAGTACTAAGGAGTTTTTGTGATCGCAGATTACGAATCCGTTGTCAGTTTTTAAAAATTCAAAGCGGCGGATCCAATATGGCGAACGAAAAATTTAAAAACCGAACGCAATTGTCTTGTAACTTGATATTCAGGGGTTTTTGGTGTCGCTGATTACGAATTCGGTGTCAGTTTTTCAAAATTCAAAATGGCGGATCTAATATGGCGGTTGTAAAAGAAAAAATTAATTGATTTCTCCTAATTCTTGTTACTCTGAGGTTCTTGGTGTCGCTGATTACGAATTCGGTGTCAGTTTTTCAAAATTCAAAATGGCGGATCTAATATGGCGGTTGTAAAAGAAAAAATTAATTGATTTCTCCTAATTCTTGTTACTCTGAGGTTCTTGGTGTCGCTGATTACGAATTCGGTGTCAGTTTTTCAAAATTCAAAATGGCCTATCCAATATGGCGGATGACATTTCAAAAATCGAATGCAATTGTCTTGTAACTAGATATTAGGGGGTTTTTGGTGTCGCTGATTACGAATCCGGTATCAGTTTTTCAAAATTCAAAATGGAAAATCCGATATGGCGAACGAAAATTTAAAATTGAACGCAATTGGCTTGTAACTTGTTACTTAGGAGTTTTTGGGGTCGCTGATTACGAATCCGGTGTCAATTTTTCATAATTCAAAATGGCGGATCCAATATGGTGAAAGAAATTTTGTAAAACGAACACATTTTGCTTGTAACTCATTAATTGGGAGTTTTCAGGGTTGCTGATCACAAATTTAATATCAAATCCATTGGCAACTGTTTTCTACCGTGTTAAAAAAAGTTTTAAAAAAACAATTTTTTAAATAGTTTTAAAGAACTAAGTTTAAACTAAATATAGCATGTAATTTTTTTATTTTTATTTTCTGTTACAGTGCCGCTTTGGGACGTGTTTGTATGAAACTAGTTGTTGTTATGGGTGTGACTTGGATATTGGACGTCGTCTCCTGGGCAGCTGGTGGTCCAAACTATGTGTGGTACGTTCCAGATGTGATCAATGCGTTCCAGGGTGTCTTTATATTCATCGTTGTCGGGTGCCAACCACAAGTCCGCGCTGCCGTGAAGAGGATTTGCAGCAGGAACCCGAGGACCAGCGCCGGAAGGCAGGGTAATGGCCTCAGTACCACTAGCCATGGAATGCCGAGTATGGGCGACAGTGTCACGCAAAATCCCAGCACTAAAACTGCACCTCTAGAAACCATATGTTAAAATTCCTAAACATATATACATACATATATCCTATATACTCGAAATTCTTCATGAGCCACGGATCAACCAAAAAAAAAAAATTGGGAGAATCATCCTAAAAATTCTTTGACTCTTTCACGTCAAAGAATCAAAGAACACGAGCTTTTTTTTAATCAATTTCCAAAAAATTTATTTTCTTTTTGGAAATTGATTTTGATAAAAAAAAAAAAAAAATGAAACAACCACCAACTGTTTTCAAAAAAAAAAAAAAAATAATGTTGATTTCAAAAATCAACATTTTCTATATACCTAAAACTTATATACTCTGGTCGAAATTATTTTATACGTAAATTTATATATCCTCTATATACCTTTGATACTTTTTTATAGATATGTAAAAAAAGGGATCTTTTTTGTCACTTGAAAAAAAAGAAAAACGAAAGAATTTTTGTAATTTGCTATATATATGTTTAAGATTTTCGAAAAAAAATAGAGTTCTAGATCGAAATTTTTGTAGAGAGATCCTTTTAGAACCGAAGATTAGAAAATAAGTGAATTTTTAGAGTATATTGAAATTTGCCAGAGGTGAAAGTTTAAGAAACAAAAAAAAAAAAAGAAAATGCAATTGTGCGACTCTTTAAAGAGAAAATCAATTAGGCCAAGAGTGATTAAAATTGGACAAATACGCAAATGGCGAAAGGGTTAGGGGGGGGTTACTTTCTTTATTTATTTATGCGTCAGGTGTGTGAGTCCGAATTTCGATATTCTTTAGCATAGATTTGCATAAGAGTCGCGCCTCGCACAATTGCATTCACGATTTGCATATTTATAAAAGAGAGAAAAGTGTTTGTATATGTGTGTATGTGTGAGAGACAGAGAGAGAGAGAGAGAGAAAGAGAGACACTGTGAGAATGCGTGTACTATCGTGATGGTCGCTCACGGTCGTCTACGTTGATATTCGAGACCAATGACTCGCGTACGATTAAAATTCGCGATTGTTGATACCAAATTGGTACTTCATTCTTTTTTAGCAGCGCACATTTTCAATCGTTTCCAACACAAAAAAAAGAGGAGAAAAAAAAATTGTTCCACTTTACCTGATTCTCTTTCCGGATGCTCAATACAATTATACTGCCAATTTTTGCAAAAATTCATTCTGCACAATTTTTTTTTTTAGACATTTTTGTTGAAAATGCATTTTAAACGGAAATAACAAATTTTTTTCTAAGATTTAGAAAGGAACAATAATTTTTTTTTTTTGAATAATTTGTAAATTTGACTATTTGAGCATTTGGTTTTAATATCGGATTTTTTTTTATTGATAAATGATAATTTAAAAAAAAAATTAATATCTAAACACAAAATTTAGTATCTGACAATATATTTATCTAAAAATTGACATCTAAATAAATATCTTTAAATAATACATGCGTGAAAAGGCTCACTTTTGAGGCATGAAATGCGTGCCAAAAAAAAAAACCGCGTTTTATAGCAGACGATTTTATAAATACTATAGCGCATGCGCAAATCACTTCTAGTACTCTGTGCTTTATTATTAGCCTAAATCTCAAAAGATAAAATTCTGTTACGTCGAATAACTATTTTTTCGAATTGATAAAAGTTCGAATTTCTAAAATTCGAATTACAACAAAGTTGAAGTTTTAGAAATTCGAATTATAAAAAAAAAAAAAAATTATTAAAAGTTCGAATAACCAAAAAATCGAATTTCTAAAAGTTTGAATTATCAAAAGATCGAATTTTTAGAAAATCGAATTATTAAAAGTTCGAATTATCAGAAAATCGAATTTTCATAATTTCGAATATTACAAGAAGATCAAACTTATAAAAGTTCGAATGACAAAAAAAATTGAATTTTTAAAAATTTCAATTATCAAATGAATTAAATTATTAAAAAATATCGAATAACGCAAAAATTGAATTTCTAAAAGTTTGAATTTTTAGAAATTCGAATTATTAAAAGTACGAATAATCAGAAAATGGAGTTTTTAAAAGTTAGAACTCGATAATTTGATAATTCGAATTTCTAAAAATTCAAACTTTTAGAAATTCAATTTTTTCGTTATTCGAATTTCTAAATATTCGATATTTTTGATAATTCGAACTTTCAGAAATTATAGAATTTTTAAAAATTCGATAAAACGGTTATTCGATTTTATTTGACTTACGTAGTTATACAGTGCACCTGACGCTACATCTGTTATAGGTTATGTTTTCCATGCCTCATAAATGAGACTTTTTATTGCCACATATTATATATAAAGTAATATTATATAGAATCCATTTTGATTTTCTCAAAAATTATAACGAAATCAAGTCATAAAAAAAAATTGATCATACAATGTGTGTAAAAGAATAATAATTGCTATATGGCAATTACGCATTTCGATTGTACGAGAATTTGATTGGCTTTTGATATCGTGATTGTTTCCTGACTTGTTTATAGATAGAAACGTGAGTGTCGATAACGAGCGATCATTGTTTTAAGTAGACTGATTGTGAGACTATTATTATTTTTTTTTTTATTATTATTCACTTCTTTTTTGTGAGTGACTCACAGGGCATAAACAGAGTCATAACGTGACAATACAAAACACGAGAAAAATCAATGCCTTCTGAAATTGCCTTGTTCTTCTATATCTTGGTGTTCACTCGTGCCGAATTGTGTATTAAAAAAAAGATTCTCATTGATTTCTCTGAATCATCAATAGAGAAAAAATGAAAACAAAGTGGCGAGTGAGCGAGCAAAAAAAAAAAAAAAGCTTTCGCCTATCGAAATTGAATCGCGATGATCGACGGCACTAAATCCAGAGGTCTGGATTTTTATCGATGGCAAGACGAACGCTTTTTCAAATGAACGAAATCGAAAGCAATTTTTACGTATACCTCTCCCTTCATTCTAGATCTTAGGTTTCTTGTTTGGTGTTCTTCTATATATAAATACCATCAATGAAACGAAATACAAAACGGTTCAAACACTTTAAAACGTATGATGAAAAAAAAATTTGCTTCTCATTTTTTGGAATAAATCATCACGAAACAAACATACGTATTGCATTGAAAATTTAGAAAACGATCCAGTCGATGAGAAATTATGTGCCTATGCATGTTTTGAATTATAATTTTGAAAAAAAAATTTATTTTTGCCAAAATAAATCGAAAACAGTCGATAAAGTAGATTTCCACATTTGATCTTCAATGAAATTTAATTTCATTACCAATTATAATTCAAAAGCTTAGACATAATTATTTTTGTTAATCTCAATTAGTTTCTATTATTTTTAATCAATAATTACGACAAATTGTTTTTAAAAATTTTTCAAGTGAAAATTTCAACTAATTTGAATTAGTGAACGAGAAATTATTGAAACAAAATTAAATAAAACAAATTAAGGAACTATTAAATAAATTAGTAAAATATCAAAAAAAAAAATTTTTTTTGGTTTGAACCGTTTAGTAAATATTGTGGTATTTTTTTTCTATACTTGGATAAAATTACACCAAGAATAGATTTCTTTAGGTGCGTCCAAGAGACTGAAAGTGTGAATGTAGTGGACACTGCACCCCATTTGAAATCTTCTTTTTTTTTGTTTCATTCATTACCTGGGTATTATTTTATATTTATATTTTCAAATTTGAAAAACAATTTTTACAAACTCAGAGTAAATATAAATTTTTTAATTAACATATTAATTTATATTTGTAATTAAAAAAAATGTATTACATTAAAAAAAATTAATTATAAATTATAATTGATAATAAATTAAATCAACTTTAATTAAAAATTAATAATTAAATAATTATTAATCTTTTATTTTTTATGTACTGTCAATATTATAATTTATAATTAATTTTTTATCGAATTTAAAATATTCATTATAAATCCAGGATAATATATGAAACAAATTTCATTGGGAAAAATAAAATTCTCTTTATGAAATCTTTTTTTCTTTCTAATTTGACGCGACAAATGTGATAAAAAAAGAAAACGCAAAATCGTAGTTCCTGAAACTCTTTTTCTTTTATTTTTTATTTGTATCCTAGACTGTTGTTAAATAGAAATGAAAATTCGGCCTAAAAAAAATTGTAGACTTACGTATAATAGGCAGCTATATAAAATCAGTTTCAGGCACTCATCGATTTGTGCAAATGTATAAATGTGTGCTTTACGAGCTATGATGATAATTAATGTTTATTAATAATTAACAATATATATATATATAATTATAATAGATAATAAAAAACAGACATTATGTGGTATAATTGAAAATATAACTCGAGAGAATCTTTAAGTTAAATATCATTGACATTATCCGAAAATTTAATTAAAAAAAAAATTAATAAATAAATTTCAACACATTTACAAAAAAAATTTTATATTTTTATCAAGAAAATTTATATTTCCTGGATATATAAAAAATTAATTTTTTTCAAGATAAAGAAAAATTAATTTTCAAGAAAGTAGAAAAATAATTTAATTATTAAATGTTCAGTAGAAAATACTATATAAACTATTATTTATCAAAATTAAATAAAAAAAAATCACATTAATAATTAGAACAAAAATAAAGAAATAAGGTTTAAAAAAAAAAAAAAATTTATTATAATTATTTAATTTATTTATTAAGAAATAATAATAATAATTGCTATTGAAGGAAAAAAATGTGTTGAAATTTATTGTAATTGTCTTTTTTTATGAATCATTATTTAATTTGAGGTCATTAAATACCTTAAATTTAAATGTCGCAAGTATTAATTTTCACAATTACGTTGTCATCACTTACACACGCTCTTGTAAATAACATTGTATTACGTTATAAATGTATCCGTCGAATTATATATATATATATATATATATATAGAAAAAGTTAAGGCTCATTTCACGAAGTAAATCGAAACGATTATTATTATTATTATTATTATTATTATTATTATTATTATTATTATTATTATTATTATTATTATTATTATTATTATTATTATTATTATTATTATTATATTAAAATATTAAAATTATTCTAAGTATACTCATAAAATAACACGACAAAAAGAGAATTAAGATATATATATAAATAAATGTACATTCGTCTCAATGTAGTATTTGAAAACTTCTCGATTCTGGAATATTATTATAATTTCCATATATTATCGAGAGATACTCAAGTAGATCTATACCGTAATTAAATACGATATATGTATTTATATTATATATCTAAAATGTTCAATAAATTGGTAAAGCGAGGAGAAGAAAAAAAAAGAACACTTCGTCAACGCGACGAAAACGAAGAACCATTTTCTAGCGAACGTAGAAAAAAAAAAGTAATTAAGACACGCCTTATATTATAATCTAATTTATTTTAAATAGTTTTGTTGTGTTTTTTTTCTACACAAGTACACCATTCAAAATGGTAGCTTGCCAGTAACGATGTATAGATCACTGATGTATTTAGAAATTAATAATAACAAAAAAGAGCAGAATGTATAAATAAACGTGCATCACGTTGAAGTTTTTTTTTTTTTAAATTCAAAAATTGATTGAAATTTAAAAAAAAATATATTTTATTTTTCTCTTAATTAAAAAATACGTATAAAAATTAATTAAAATTATAATTATTTTATTTTTATAAACATAAAACAAAATAAAATTTTGAAATAATTTTTTGAATAAAAATTTTTTTTACAATTTAAGAATTTTTAAGAAGTAAATGTTTGCAGTGTGATATTTTTTGTAGAGTTTCTATTTTTAAAGAGAAAATAAAAAAAAAATTAAAATGTAATTTTTTTTTGTTTAAAGATACTATTTTTCTTTTTGGCTTTATTAAGGGCATTTTTCTAGTCTTGTCAAAAGTTCGACTTGAAGCACATACATACGTCATTCTGCCAAAAATAAGGAGGCTATAATTCAAACAAATAATAAAGTTATAGAAATAAAAAAAAAAGTACACGAACAAAGAAACACTAGTATTGAAATTGTTACGCATGAAAGGTAACAGACAACATTTATAAATTTAATGTGTAGACCGGCCAACTAGAAATATTGTAAACACCATCTTATTAAAAAAAAATTAAAATAAAATAACTGTCTACTGTCGCAAATCGTACACCATTCCTACGATGTATTATAACAGTATTTCTAACGCACTAATTAAATAAAAAGATGTTAGTACGAATTTTGACTCGAAATTATTATTCCCATTTTCAATTTTTGTTTAAAAATAATTTTTAATTAAAAAATTTCTTTATTTTTAAAATAATGCTAAATTTATCTAAAGTTTAATTAATAATATTTTAAAAATTATTCAAAAAATAATTTTAACCCTAGACGATACTTACTATAACACTCGATATTAAATTCATTTTATTAATTTCCTTATAAGAATATTATTAAGAAAATTTATTTTGAATATTTTAGAACCGAACTAAGAATAATTTTTAAAATTATAGGAAAGTAGGGCAAAATTCTAAAAAAAATTCTTAAAGTTCCATTTTAAAAATTTTTTCAAGTCTGATTAAAGAAATTTATTCGAATTTAAAATTTTGGAATAGTTTTTAGTTTTAATGGTAAAAAAACTTTCAAACAATAATTAAGTTTTACAGATATTGAAATTAATTTTTTTTTCTTAATAATTGAATTGCAGAAGATTTTATAAATTTGAAATATACCTATTTTCTGCAAATTTAAATTGCTGTAGTATTTTTTTTTCATTTTTGCTAAGAATTCAATTTTTGAGTTTTTATTTAAAACTTTTTTACATAATTGAATTTTTAATGAAATATTAAAATTATTAAAAATAATTGAATTTTGAAAGAGTTATAGTTGAAATTTTTAGAATTACATAATTGAATTTCAAAAAATTTTGTTTACTTTCAGAAAATAAATAAATTTTATAGAATTGAAAATAAAATTTATCAAATAATTTTAGATAACATTTTTTAAAAGTAATTGAATTTTTTAAAGATTTACAATTCAGATTTTTGAAAAAAAATAAACTTCAAGCGATTTTTAATTGAAATTTTTGATTATTGCCGTTGACGAAAAATTTATTGTCGGTAAATTACAGACAAAAATTGAAATTCAAAATTTTTCAATTGAAAAAAATGCTTTCAGATAATTGAATTTTCGAAGAATATTATAAAAGTATAATAAAATATAATATATAAATATAGGGTCAGTTGGGGTAAATGGGGACAGGGGGTAAATGGGGATTCAACTATTATATATTTACTACAAATTTTTTTCAAGTTTTTTCATCCCTTAATAATACAGTAATATACTTAAGGAAACTTTTTTCTCAAAACTTTCTTAGAAACTATGCTGTTCCCATTTACCCCAAATTTTATGAAATTTTCTAAATCTTGGGGTAAATGGAGACAGTCAGTTTCATGCGTTTAAAGCTTATCTAAACTGTTTTCTGCTGCATAAAATTAATCCTGGGAACGTAAATAACAAGTTAAATATAAAAATAAACCCACAAATGTTACCTTTTAAAGGAAGAAACTTACGTAATTTGTGAAAAATAGAGATTTTGTCCCCATTTACCCCAACTGACTTTAAACTAAAAATTTTATTATATTTCAGTTTTAACAATTAATTTTTTTAATCTTGGCTGAAGTCTGATTTTTTGTATTTTTGAATATATTGGTTGAATATTGGGCCAATATTGAAATTCGTGCCTGATCTCTACACTCCCAGCCTTGGACCAATATTGGTAAAAATGACTGGTCTAATATTTAGCCAATATTTAGTCTTGGCAATTTCCCAATGGGTTTTCATTAATAATAATAATTTGAATAGAGGAAATAAAGATTTTTCACTTTTATGAAAATTATAAATTTTTTATATTATATAAGATAAATGAGTTTCTCTCTAAGTGTTTGTAATAAATAAATATTCTATAAGCATTTAAATCCTTTAATGTTTATTTGATTTTTAATAATAATCAAATAGAAATTATGTTAAATGAATTTTCGGTTAATTAAAAATGCCGTAATATGAAAAATCGGTTAAATGGAAATTCAGTTGAACGCAAATAAAAATTCAGCTAAAAGTAAATAGTCTTAAGCCTTGAGAGGGTTAATTTAAAGGAAAAAAATCGTCAACTGTTCATTTTAATTTTAACCCTTTTTTTAAAGGTTCATAATCTTTTGAGTCTTTTTCATTGAAATTAATTTTTTTTTACAATTTAAAAAGAGTATATATTTGAAATGCCAAGTAGTCTTGCTTGATGAAAGCAAATCTTCTACTGCGTTAAACTTAGAATAAGAACTACGAAGAGTTTTGATTTAAAGTGAAGGCTGTGAATTTGTAATTATAAGAGATTGGGGCAGAACAATTGTAAAACTGTTCTAAGAGCCACCTTGGGGTGCTTGTAGAGCCTAATTTAGTTATTCGAGTAGACTGCTAATGACATTTACTCTGTGCACGCTTCACTGGACGATTCCGAACTGAACAGTTGCAAACTTGATGGACCCTTTCTAATTCAATTGAATAAGTTTCCGGTCACGATATATATATATATATATATATATATATATATATATATTACCAAGTGAAAATTCTGCTTCACTTTTCAACAACTTGCATATAGCTTTCCTTAAAATCAAATTTGAATTCTAAAACTTGGTGGACTACTTTAATAAGACGATATAGAATTGATTTCCAGAATAACTTAACTGAGTTACAAGATCAGAGAACAAAAATTTTATGAGCTTCAGAATAAACCTTCAATTTTATGTTCTTCAAGTTATGTTTGTTGCAATGTTAATAGTAAGTATAGAAATATTTCATTTTTTTAAACTAGAATAACCGATTAAAATCTTCGATATATCGATCAAACTTTGTTTTAAACTATCGAAATATCGAAATAAGTATCAATATTACCAGCAATGTATTAAATAATCGATATATCGACCAAACGATATATAAAATTGATGGATCAATATATTCAATCGATATATCAAACTATCGGAACTATATTCAACTATCGAAATGTTGAAAAATCGAACTACAGTGGAACCTCGATTATCCGAACTAATCTAGGGAAGGCCGGGTTTGGATAATCGAAAATTCGGATAATAGAGATTTTAATTTTTTTTATAATTAAAGTAAAAAATGTACAGTTGAACTATATATTTAACTTAATACATATGTTTTTAAATATACATAAGTATATACATATATGTAAATATATATTAATTAATAATATATTAAAAAATCAGAAAATTCGAAAATTTTTAATATTTTTTTGGCATAAATTTGGTTATTTTGCTTTGAAAGATAGCATCTATTCGTTTTTTACATGCCAAATCACGCATTCTTCTCAGAAATGAATGAATGATAAAATAAATAGAGAAAATAAAATATAAAATTTGGGAGACCAAAAAATAGTTCGGATAACAGAAGTTCGGATAAAATGTTTTTCGGTTCGGATAATCGAGGTTCCACTGTATCGTAATATACCAAAATATCTGAAAATCGAAATTAAGAATTACCCATCAAACGATTTATGAATCGATATATCGACCAAACAATGTATTAAAAAGGATCAATATGTCAAAAATTTCTATAAAAAAATTTTTTTATAAATAAATTCGAAAAAAATTATATACACGGAGAGAAGAGTTACAGTGATGGCCACTGATCGCGTTTAGTAGGCAAAAATACACGGAAAAACTTTGTTCAAGAATCATTCCTAAATTTGTTCAGGAACTGAGGATATGAGAAAAATTCTGCAAAATTTACAGAAAAATACAAAAATTATTCAGGAAAATACTTGTATTTTTATTATGACATTGGAAGACTTCTTGTTAATGCCGCGATTGGAATATCTCAGTCACTGGGTGTTGAAAGTTTCTTGAACTGTTTTAGAAGACACAGTACAGTAACCAAGCACTAGGCAGGGATTGGTTGCGTCTAATATGTTTCCAATGCATAATACCAAAAGCTGCTAAGGTAGCTTAGAGATGTAAAGCGCAGTTTTTGGACACTCGAGGACGTGGGATCGAGTCCTCCCAGAGTAAATTTTTTTTTCTCGCAAACGTAAAAATTTATTCTAAAACAAGTTCAAGACTTTCTGTAGTGAGTTTAGAAAGTTGTCTTAAATTTCTCTACAATTCTTATAGAAATACTGCTTAGAATTTTTCAAAGAAAATATAAATAAGATTTCTTAAATTATTCTCATATCCTCAGTTCCTGAACAAATTTAGGAATGATTCTTGCACAAAGTTTTTCCGTGTATGGTCAGAACAACTTTAATTGCAGTCGCTATAACTAAACGGCGTTTAGTTCGTTATAGTTCGTATTACTAAACAGTTCTTTTGACAGCACTACCGTTTCAGTGAATGCAACTGTTCCGGGTACCAGGTTATCAAAATGTCTGACATTTATTTGCTATAGATCTTTTAGATGGTATGACAAGTAAATTTAAGTTTAAAAGTTATCTCATGAGTGTAGAAAATTTATTATCAGGCTGGGGATTTTCCAGTTACGTGGAAAAATTCAAAGGTAAGTTTGTTTATAAGGTTCTTATTTCTTAAGATGAAGTTTATTCTTTAAACAATGTCAATTACTACTTTTATAATATATTATATTTATAAAAATATTTTTTGCACTATCTTTAACTTACGAAATCTAACAAAAATATTTATTTTATAAAATGAGCAGATGGATAGCAAAAGTGGTTTGTAGTTTTTTGCACACTTGAAAAAATTTTTTCAATTTAAATAATAGATATTTATAGTAATATTTACTTGAATCGAATAATTTTTATTTCTATTAAATAAACTAGTTGAACACAAAATAAATAAATACTATTTAATTGACTCAATGAGTGAAATATATGTATAAATATGTCTGAAATCCAATAAATATTATGCTATATATATTATGCATTATATTCACGCTATTATATTAATCATCTCAAGTAGTAAATATTAAAATATCGATATATCTGAAAAATCGATATATCGAACAAACGATAAATAAAACAAATCGTTATATTGATTAAACAATATACCAAATCATCTATATATCGTTTAAACGATATATTGTAATATTGAAAAATCGAAGTAAAAATATATCGAAATATCGATATATCAAGCAAACGATGTTTTAAACCTATGACTATTATAATAAAAAAAAAATACTTATAAAGATCAGAACTTTAACAAAGGGAAGAAAAAAAATATATAAAGATATTTTTAGTGTATCATATTAAAATAAATGTTTATTCAGCTAAATCAATAATATTTGATGTTTATTTGATAATGTTTTTGTACCAAAAAATAATAGACATTTGTATAGTTAAGTCATTTTAACGAGAAACGCTTTGGTAGTAGTTACTTTTGAACAACCTTCTTCCAATACGAGTTACTCTATTTGCACAGAGGAACGGAAAGCTTTCGTTAAACGAAGCGAAAAGGAATAAATCAAGGAAAGCTCAAAGGCCAGACTTCAGAGAGTGCAAATGAAAACGTTCTTAAATTTCGTATCTTTGAAATGTTTCAGTAGCTGCAAACATTTCATGCAATATGGTGCAATTAAGACATTAGTTTCAGAAAAAAAATTTAATATACAAATAAAAATTATTTCACTTCATTAATCAATAAAATAAATTAAAAATAATAATAAAATAAAATAAATTCTATTATAGAAATAAGTTCTTAAAAAATTATATGATTAACCTAAGTTTTTTTTATAAATGAAAAAAAAGACAGTAAATTAAATTTATTATTATTTTTAAAAAATTCAAATTTATTTATTTTCATTCTTTATATAAATAGTCAATTTACTTTTTTATAAAAATAGTATACTACTTTTTTTCCAAATATTAGAATTCATAATTTTTTTAACTTGTTTTTTTTATATAAATAATATTAAAAATATAATAAAGTTGATTTTAATTAATTTAAGGATTTTTATTGAAGGCAATATAATTTTGTTCCATTTCCGCAAATATATGCAAAGCACTTATCTTTGGTATAATCTTCTTTACTACTATCAGATAAGATATTAACTATTCCTGAATCGATTCATACGAAAAGAATAGGTATTGGAGGTCTTTCAAATAGACCTTTAACATGAACAATTTCTAGTCAATATTATTTACTTGTAAAACAAAAGTGTTAATAAAAACAATGTAAAAAAAAACGAAATACAGTAATTTTCTGTGAATTATCTACAAAGAACAAATTAGATATATTTTATTAAATATAAGAAATTTGTTTTAATTATAAGTTTCTGTAATTTTATATATATATTAGGTAAAAGTTCAATTTCAACATGTAAGTATTAAATTTTTAATTATCATATACAAAATCATTCATTAATTAAAATTGAAAAAAATAATTTCATAAAAAATGTTATTTTAATTTTAATTAAATTTTTTGAATTTATTTAATTTTTTATTGTCATACAAATAAGAGATGTTTCAATTTTAGGAAAAAATTTGTGTGGCATATCCCCCAAGAGAGCAAAGCAAATGTTAAAGAACATCTAAACAATGGATATCAATGTGTACAGTGGTCTTTATACTTTAGTGGTAACTAAAGATTTATTAGTACATTTTTTTGGGTAGCATTTAAAAAAAATAGAATGTTTATCACAGAAAAAAAGGTGGGTAAAAAGTTGTAAAGATAGATGATAAAAGTCGTTAAGATACAGGGTAAAGGATAAATTTGTGATGGATAAAAATGTTACTAAAATATTACTTTTACTATTTTAAATATTTTACTATTTACTTTATCCTCTATCTTTGCAACTTTTTACCCACCTTTTTTTCATATCATTAATTTTATCTAGATATAGAAATATTAATAATAATATAACACGGACACAAAAACTGTAAGGATCCTTATCTTATAAATTTCCTAAATTCGAAAGATTGTGCGAATCCATACAAAAACGCGATTGCAAAACGGAATGTAATATAATGACAGGTTTATTACGTCATGCCGCCGTCAGATGGCAGAAACATGCAGGAACAGTGCTATTTTTTGAAATATGCACATTCGTAGTATTCTAAATGAGTGCGTTATTGTATATCTATAATATATTAGGATAATAGAGTCTGTATATTTTGTATAAATTTACAGAAACAAAAATTGCTTCAGATTGTTACAATCTATTAAATAATAGATTATAAATTTTCCAAAGAATCCACAAGACAGTAGAATAGAATATTCCTCGAACTACTTGATGAATATAGAATAATCTGAAATATTTAAATAGCATAATTTTTTCTGAATATAATTTAAAAGTAATATTCTTATTTGTTTTTTTTTATTTATGAAATTTTTACCTTCTTAGTTTACGTTCACCTAATTCTCTTTCTTTTTCATTTAATTCCAATCCCAAAACGTACTTTTTAGTTCCATTACAGTGTGTGCTAATCATCTTATCCCAAGTAAAAGATGTGATATCAAAATTGAATAATTTCTTATCATTTACAGAAAGTTTTCCCCACAATAATTTAACATTGTCTGTGTCAAATTTCCATTCCCGGTTAGAAAAGAATCTTATGACTAATGCCAGTTTAGTTCCTTTCTTAAAAATTTTGTATAACCTGTATAAAAATATATAATTACAAATTTCAATTTAAATAAATCTAATAAAAAGTTTTCTCTTTTTGTTCTAGAAATTTTAAGTTTCAACAACTTTCAAAAGTTGGAATAATTATTTTGGATATTTTTAGTATGGTATATCTAGACATTTTTCACTTACATTGGTTTTCGACCTAATATTCTTAAAATTATATCTCCTATAACAGCTGGAAGGAAATGAAATATGTAGTGAAAAAAAATAAATAAATGAATAGATTCAAATATCATAACTTCAGGATGGTAGACTGCTTTGTTTATTGCTAAATTGTATCGTTGAGTGCAAAAGTAGTCTCTTAAATAGTTCCAAGTTACTGGGTTGTCTGTACCGGAAACGTAGTTATAAACTTGCAAATTTTTTTCTTTACTGAAAATTCGATAAAGTTTTTCAATTTTAAAAAAATACATTAAACCCTAAGGTCATCTTTTTTTTAAGAATAATGAAAAATTTGGTGTTGAAATATTTTCTAAAATCTATTAAGCTGTATTCAAAATTCTATAAATAAAAAGAAAACCTTAGAATTTTTTTTTCAAATTATTTTTTATCCATAAAAAGCATATCATTATTTTTAAATATATAAACTTACTTATTTTTAACATTTGATGTTTCCCATGCAGAAGCAATTAAACAAGAACAAGCGAAATCAATCGGTACAGTTTCCATATTTGTGTTTTTTTTTGCACTCATCACTCGAATAATACCTAAACCTATTCCAATGAAAGTTTGATTTAATGCTTGATTTGCATCCACCCATCCTTCTAAAGGTTCTTTTAAAGCTGCCATTGCTATGGAAAAGATAAATTCATTATTAGAGTTAATAATTTTGTTTACAAAATTAAATATAACTACCAATTGAAAATCTGTAAATGGAGACTGGAAGATCTTTTGCACTTTTGCTAATGAGATCTTCTGCTATTGATTTTGTAAAACAATATGTATTAGGAAATTTGCCAATCACCCTGAAAAATATTCACAATCAATTTGTTTTTAATTTTGGATACTTTCTGAAAAAAAAAAAATTAGATTCTTCTTTACATACAATTTTGTGAATTTGATTTCTTCTTTTTTGGGCATATTTAATTGGTCCATGACACCAACAAGTTCAGCTAGTTTTTCATGTGATAATGGCCCTGGATATACTTTTTCTTCTACATGCTCATAAATGCAATTACTAAATGCTGTTGATACGTATACAAAAGACTATATTTTAAAACAAATTCATGATAAATAATTATGAAATCCAATTTTAATGTAAAATTTTCCTATTAAATATTTTTACTTATACCTTTAAATTTTTGCATTCTTTGCAAATGTCAATCATAGTTTTCACACTATCCACATTTATTTTCAGTGCAATTTTCAATTTCTCGTCAAATCTTGTAGTTGCTGCTGCATGAAATATGATTGAAACCTATAAATAATTTTTTTTTATTTATCTATTTATAGAATTATCTGACTTACATTCATCGAAAGTGTAATTACTTAATATATTGATTTACCTCTTTCTTAATTAACTCTAAATCTTCAGACGCCAGACCAAAATTAGGTTCTATTATATCGCCAGCTAGTGGTACAATTTTTCTCTCAAACATGGGTTCTATTTGTTTTAAAGGTTCAAACATCTATTTAACAATTTAAAGTATTTTAAAATTGATTTTGCTAATAGTGTTTGAAATAATAGAATAACTTTAAATACGGTAGTAATAAAAAATTCTTCAAAAATTGAAACTGATTTTTCACTATATAATTACAACAAAAAAATTAATCTGTTTTTGTTAATATAAAAAATAACAAATGTTTCATACATATATTATAAAATATTACATACGAGGAACAGTAATTATAATTCTCAGCCGCACATATATATTACAAATAATTTCATTGTTCAATATAAAAATGTCTCTCACCTGTAAATTTATTATTTCACTCATTCGATCGTGAATTGTTTTTCCTTTTTTTGGACGAATTAAAATATAAATTACTTTTATCTTTGAACATGAACGAAGGAGTTTTTCGATAAGAATTTTCCCGAAAAATCCTGTTCCGCCTATATATTTGAATTAAAATTAAAAATTAAAGCTTTTTCCCTATTCTATTCATTATAAAAAGCTACAAATTATTAAAATTTAAGAAATAAAAATATATTTTAAGCAATAAAATCTTTAATCTTATTACCAGTGATAAATACACTTTGACCATTGTAAAACTCCTGAATTTCTGTCATAACTGAAGAATTATTATTTTTTTTTATGTTTGATTCAAATTATTTTGATTACAAAAAAATATTTACTGACGATTTAAACACTGTGAAGAAATAGTTCTGAAATTGTTAAAAATAGTTTACTTTTTAAATACAACAAAATTTCTACGATGCTGTAGGGCTTAAGTGATTGTTTTAGAAATTTATTATTTGAAGTTGTTTTTATTTTTGTGAAAATTTTATATATCTCTTAGGTAGAAAAACAATGATTTTTTTGTAACTCACTTTGATATGTAGATCTATTTTAACTACTTGAATTCAGTGAATATTATTGAGAATTGAAAGTCAAATACAGTCTGATTGATGAATGCAAACTATCAATATTGTGCTTGGAAAACATTGTTAATAAATGGTGGGAAAAAAATACATTGTTTTTTCTTTGAATTTTCATTCCGCAAATAATGTTTCTTTAATTAAATTAAATTGCATAAATCCCCATTTTTTTAAATAATTTTATTTGCTAATGTGTTACTACAAATGTAATTTAAGAAATTTTTTGACAATTATAAACAAAGCTGTATTTTAAAATGTGCAATTTGTAATTTCCAAATTATTCCTAGTTCGTATATATAAATCAAATCAAATGTATATGTTTATGTATAAATAGTAAGTAAAAAAAGGGTTACGTATTGCATTATTAATTAAATAATTAATAATAATTTTATTTTATCTTTGCAAAATAATAATGAAATTTATTTATTATTATTTTTATATATATATATATATATATATGACGTTCCATGAGGAAAGGGACCTTAGCTGCAAAAAAATGAAAATTGAGTTTTTGATATCAGTCGATAGATCTTGAGTTGCTCTTTCAGATACAAAAGTTAAAAATTGTACTTTTCTATTTAGTTTTTTTGTTATAAAGCATTAATCATGACCATGTTAATCGCGTTCCAGCACGGACTACAGAAACCATCCCCACCACTACTACTACTAGTATACTTGTCGTAAGCGTGAGCTGTAGGAACGATGTAGTAGTAAGGTGGTGGGGCTGATTTTTGATGGAGGGTCTCAACCAATCAGGGACGCTCTACTTTAAATACCTTTTCTGGAAAATGCGTCTATTGCAGCTAAGGTCCCTTTCCTCATGGAACGTCACATATATATATATATATATATATATATATATATATATATATATATATATATATATATATATATATATATTATAAATAAAAAGTAAAAAATAAAATTCATTACGTAGGGGAGACCGAGGAGGAAAGTAACAAAAATCAGTTTTTTTATGCTAACGTTAAAAATATTTGTCGGATAAATTTGTCCAATATATTAAATGAAAGCTTGGACATTCACCTTTTAAATAAAATTTGAATTAAACATTTATAATAAATTGACAGTTCACAGTATAACTTTTACGCAAGCTCTTCATCTGTTACTTTCCTCCTCACCCCCGAGGAGGAAAGTAACAAGCTCCTAGGAGGAAAGTAACAGTATAAAATTATGTAAAATTCTTTAGACTAATGACTATTATTAATTAGAAATATTTTTATTAGGAACACATAAAAGTTTAAGTACACTTTATACTTATTTGGCACATATTTGGGACATATTTAGCACATATTTCGAACATTTTATGAATTTAGCTCATTTTTTTTCTTAAAGATATTTTATGCTTACCTAGATCACAGGTTTTTCTTAAATAAATCTCTGTTATTCGTAAAATTAAATACGATTTGCTTCAATCATTAGTTAAAACATGGACAATATCGACAACAGGAGAAAAGTAGCGTGTTACTTTCCTCCTCGGTCGCTTTTTTCTTGTATGTCAACAAAAAAGTTAAAACTACAGAAATGTTAAATTGTTTGTTTAAGCACAACTTAAAGACAGATAATAAGGCTACAAAATAACGAAAGGCACATTTTGAAAAACAATAAAATTAAAGAAATACGAGACTTTGAAAATTTGAACGAAAACTTACTTTTGACGTTTTTTCTGCACGTCACACCGGAATCAGACCTAACCTTTCCTGTCAGGCTCGGACACACTATGGAGGAGGAAGGGGGAACAGTGCCGACTAAAAATATGTTTGAACCATGTCTATCCGATAATTTGTTTAAAAGTTATAAGCTTTGTTACTTTCCTCCTCTGTTACTTTCCTCCTCGGTCTCCCCTACTATGTCTTATTAATTAATTAACTAAATAATAAAACTTTATGTAACCCTTTTACCATTTGTATGTGCTACAAAAATTTATTATAATGTCATTGACTACTAGGGCATAGTTGTTCCATCGGAATAATTTGTAACACTTACTAAACGAAGTAGTTAGAAATACCACGTTCGCATTATACCATGCCGTCTAGTACGTCAAACTGGCTGTCTAGTAGGAATAACTATTTTGACGTTAACTAAATACCCAAGTTTTTCCAACTAGTTGGCGTAGTAATTCTAACTATTCGTTTAGTAAGGGCAACTAGTTAATCAGTTAGCCCTGCTATTCGGCTTTAACTATTTCTGTCTAGTAAGTCTCACTACGCCTTTTCTCTCCGTGTGAGTACGAAGGTAGTCTTTTAAATAGTTCCAAGTTACTGGGTTGTCTGTACCTGAAACGTAGTTATAAACTCGCATATTTTTTTGCTGAAAATTTAATGAATACTTTAACTTCTTAATGAATATATTAACCCTTTAAATACAATTTTTTCTTTATAAATAAAAAATTTCGTATTAAAATATATTCTAAACAATTGTGCTTGGATAAAAATTTAAAATAAAATTGAAATTATCAACTTTAGCATTGACGTAATAAGAAACTTTGTAAGTCTATGAATTCTAAATTATTGTTTGAATCGATATTCAAAATGCTTTAATCACTCTGAACGCATGGTAGTTCATAGGTTAATTAATTTAGAAAAAGTGTTTAACTGGCATTTTTGTAATTTTTTAGGAATTTGAAAAGTTCACGGAGAAAAATGAAATTTGAAAAATATATCAATTCAGTCTTAGTAATTGATGAATGCGAATCCACGATGAATTTTAGGAGAAGAATCCTAAAGTTTCGTATTTCGAATTAGAAATTTGGAAAGTAAACAAGTTGCGATTATACGGTTTCGAAAACTTTTTGACTGAATCCCAAACAGTTTTAGAATACTTGATCAAATTTCATCCTGGATTCACATTGTTAGACTTTTAGGACTCGATACAAAATCCTAGTACTCCATATTTAAATTTTAATATAAAATTCTAAAAATTAATTATTAGCCTTAAAATATCTAGTGTTCAGTAGGGGAGAGTGGGGAGTTGTGCTTTAGCGTTAAAAATTGAAGAAAAAGCCATCTTTTAGAATATTCTTTATTTAAATTATGAAATGTGAAAAAGTAAGATAACTTACACAAAATAAAGTAATATATAAGATAATATAAGATTAATTTTAGATAATTTAGATAAAATTAAATTATTTTAAAAATAATTGAATGAAACTTGATAATTAATTTCATTTACAGTGAATACAGATGTAAAAAGTCTCATTTCACTAAAGAACAATATATTTAAATTGCATAAAAAATTCTAATTATTCATAAATAATGAAAAATAAAAATAGAAAGTGCGTATTAGGATTAAAAACTGTTAAATATAATGTGAGGCACAGCTCGAATTTAATTTAATTAATACATCGAATGTTTATGCAAATTTTTTTTTGTACGTCAAAAGTTATTAATGACAACTAATTTTTATGCATTAAACATTGTGATCGTTTTGAAAAAAATTAGTGGAAATGACCTAAACATAAAGAGACAAAAAAACTTTTAGAAAAAAATTTTAACTCACTATCTGTAAAGACTCGAAAAATGCTTCCAAAGATGACGGGGTACCACTTAAAAAGTTAGTTCTTAACGAGAAAAGATTATGCCAATAGTTGAAATTTGTCATATTAAAATTTCCATAATAAAAAAATTAAGGTGGAGCATGACTCCCCACTCTCCCCTACTATTTCTGAAAATTCGTTTTTTCTCCATGATTGAAAATTGTTTAGACGCGTGTGTGACCTACTGGTTGTCAAAGATGAGTTAAAATTGAATTAATTTAATTGCGACATTTGAATTAACAGACTCTAATAAATTCTATTTTCATTGTATGTTAATTTCGAGGTTCTTTAACTTTTTTCCGTTTGATGGCAATCCAGAGTTGCACCTTGGATTTTTTTTTGCGTTAATAACTTCTTTGATTTTCAAACTTCGATTTTCAATCAAAAAATTTTTTTTAGTTTTTTTTTTTAAATTTAAGATTAAAAATTTGTCATTTTCAAAAAAATAATGCTTTTTGTTTATCTTTAGATAATACAATTTCTAATAATAATGAAAAAAATATTTTTCTTTGCATAAAAAATGTGCCTTAAAAAATTAAGAGAATATATGTGAGTATACTTAGCCAGTAAAAAAAACTAATTAATAAAATAAATTGACTTTTGGTTGAATTCTTCTGAATCCCGCTTACTGATTTGTCACGACGAATTGAAATGAATAAAAATGAATTCCCAATGAGAAAAATACCATTGGCGTATTTTTTAATAGTTATTATTATTATTTTATATTTAATAATTAAATTAAAATAAAAAAATAGTCATCACAATATCAGTGAAACCATTTCTTCCAAAAAAAAAATTTGTCTCACATTCTAATAAATAAGAGAGACATTGGGCAGAAAAATATTTCAACGAGAAAAAAATTTTAGTTCACTTCTTATATACAAATCTAGTGGCACTTCAACTGCGAGAAAGAGTGATGTTTGCCCTCCCTTTGCGGCGTTTAGCAAATTTATAGTATCGAAAAATACAAATATTTTGTAAATATTTTGAATTGCGACTTTATGCTCCCTGCATGTTTCTGCCATCTGACGGCGGCAGGACGTAATAAACCTGTCATTATATTACTTTTCTTTTTGTAATCGCGATTTTGTATAAATTTGCTCAATCTTTCAAATTTAGAAAATTTATAAGATAAGGATTCTTGGTGTTTTAGTCGATTTTGTAAAAAGTGTCCGTGTTTCGAGAACAAAGTATTTTAAAATCAATCTTTATCATTTTCACGTTCAGTGCCGTTTTTATAGGGCGATAATTTTGTCAAAAAGAAATTGTTAAAAATTTAAATTGAATTTAAATCATTCATAAAAATTTTAAAAGCTAAATATGTTAAATAAAAAAAATCATAGTAATATATTTTTGCAAAACTTAATATAAGTTATTTTCTTTTATTTCCAGTTATTCTAATGAGTATAGGACTGTCGGCATTAGAAATGTGGATGACTCCAGCGTTGTCATTTTTAATAAGTGATGATTTCAAATTTCCAGTTTCAGAAGATCAAATTTCGTGGCTTGCTTCCATTTTTAATATCGGAGAAATTATTGGTTTTCTCACCTATCCATTGTTAATTGATCGTTTTGGTAGAAAGTATACTATAATTTTTTTCACACTTCCACAAATAGTATCGTGTACTTTAGTTTTAATTGCCCAAAATATAATTACACTATATTCAGCACGAATAATTGGTGGATTTAGCATTGGAGCTATGGTTGTAACGCAAGTAATTTTTGTAATTGAAATTGTTGAAAAAGATAATCGTGGCTTAATAATGTCCATTTTATGGTTCTCATCATCATTTGGAAGTATTTGTTCAATGTTTCTTGGTGCTTTTTTTTCATATGACACAATGAATTTGGTGATACTTTTAATGCAACCAGCATTTATTATTCCCTTTTTTCAAATTCCAGAATCACCATATTTTTATTTAAAAGTTAATCGGGAAGATGAGGCAATTAAAAGTTTATCAAAACTTCGTAAAAATAATGATCCACAAACAATAAAGTTACAAGTGAAAAGTATGAGGGAATGTATTGAGGATGAAAAGCGTTCAAAATTAACATTGAAAAATATTATTCAAAATAAATGTTATCGAAAAGGATTTATTATCATGGTAACAATAAAATTGGGTGTTCTTTTCTCAGGCAATGGGGTCATTATAATTTATCTGCAGGAAATTTTCATGTACACTGGATTTTCTTTGGCACCAGAATATTCAACTGTAATTGTCGCTACATCATCAATTGTATTTGTCGTGCCAATTCTTTATTTGGCTGACATATTTGGCAGACGATATGTCATTATAATTGGCAGTTGCATTAGTTTTATAAGTTTATTTTATTTGGGTTTATTTTTTTTTATGAAAAATTATTTATATGTAAAAAATTTAACAACTATCGCTTGGACACCATTGTTGGCAATTATTATTTTTCTCATAACAACTGATATTTTAGTTAGTACAACAATGATACTTTCTGGAGAATTATTTTCAACACAAATAAAAGGTCCTGCTTTGTCTTTTATTTCTATAATGTCAAAATTTTTTGAAGTTTTATTGAAACTTAGTTTTGCTAGTGGCATTAGAATTTTTGATATTTATGGAACATTTTGGATTTATGCGCTCATTTCTTTTTCATTATTAATGATTTGTTTAAAATTTTTACCCGAAACAAAAGGAAAAAGTTTAGAAGAAATTCAATTGTTACTGAATTAAATTTAATAAGGTTGATCAATTGTTAAGAATTGTTTACAAAATAATGAGAGGTTAAAAAATCCCACCGCTGTCACCAAACAGAAGACAAAAATCATTGTTTAATCAATCATTATTTGATTTAAGAAATTAATTTTATAAATAAATTTTGTTATAAAAAAATTTTTAAATTATTTTTTCCCCTTTCGTGAAAACACTTTCCAATATTTTTGTCAATGTTCTTCAATTATAATTAATAGTAATAATTTTATTATGACAAGACATATTTCGAGTGCAGTTTCTGCACCTGACTTTTATATGAGTCACTTTTAATAAATGTAAAAATTACGATAGAAAAAAAAATACAGATAAGATTCAATACTACGTGGTAGATAAATAAATAGACATAGTTAGAGATATGCGTAATATTTAAAGTCAGTAAATTAACACGGTCATAATAAATTCTCTTTCAAAGTTAAATACACAATACTTGTTTTTATTCTCTTTTAATAAATATAAAATAACTTTTTAAGGAATAAGAATTAAAAAATTATGAAGGTAAACTTTATACGTTCGTTTTTTAAAAAAAATTATGTGTGGAAAGTACCTAGTGAAAAAAATGACACAAGTGAAATTCTTGGAAAAAGTAAAAACAATTGGATGCAATATATGGCAGTCATTAGTGGTAAATATTAAATTCCAAATAAATTTTGTAATAGTTTTAGAGAAATAATTGAATATTTCGATAAATTAATATTTGATGAAAATTGTTTATAATTGTTTTAATTTTTGCAATTAAGAGAAAGTTTTAGTTATTCGAATACTAACGTTTTTTTTTTTTTTTTTTGTATTTCACATTAATTTTTTACCATACTGAAATAAAGATACAAATAAATTTTATCGTATTTTAATAAATTTTCCAAGAGTATAAATAATTTATAATAAATATATATTATTTTACATTTATAGAATGATTCTGACCTACATAATCAGAGAGTAAAAAATTTTCCATTTTTTAAATAATGATTGGATATTTTCAGAGTTAATTAAGTTTTAAGTAAAATTCTTTATTCTTGAATCGGGAGAAAACGTCAGAGAATCTGTTTTTTGATTCAAGGATTATGATTTTATTTTAAACGAGACGACCTATCGCGCGTGTATTTATATATTAATAATTTTTTTTCTATATAACTGAACTTTTATAAAACTAATTTTCTGATGGATTGAATCTTCAAATATAATAAAATTTTTCATTTAACAAAATTTATGCCTAGAAAATTTTTTATAGAAAGTAATTTTTAATTAATTAATTTAATTTAATTCAAATATTCACTTGACATAAAATATTTTTATTAAGTGAATTCACATTTAATATAATTTATATTTAACAAAACTTTTATCAATGGAAATTTCTATTCGATCTTTTTCTAAATTTAACAGAATTGTCATTTAATAGAAATTTCGTTTTTAGTTAAAATTTTAAACAAGATAATTTCTATTTCATCGAAACACCATTTCACCGTACATTTACATATCAGATCATACACCGGGTTGAAGCATTTCAGAGGGAGTTTTAAAATCTAAAAATTAAATATTACCAATTTAATTGTGATTAATTGATTTTAAAACTTCTTCTTCTGAAATGTTTCGCCCGCGTGTATATGTATAATCTGAAATATAAAAAATCTATCAAATGGAAAATTATAAATAAAATTAATTACCTAAATATTGTTCTTTTTACATTCAATGCTTTTACTTTTGTTACTTTAATTATTTCTTTAATTGTTTTTTTACACTTAAAACAAATTTTTTTTCTTTGTTATTTTGAACTTGAAAACTTTTTGTTCTTTTTATTCGTTATTTTTTATATTTTTGTTTCAATTCGTTATTTTATTCATAAAATTTGCAAAACAATATTCAAACACTGTTTGTTTTATCATAATTTTGTAGGTCAGAAGCGTGCTAAATTTTTGATGAATTAAAATTATGTATCGTTGCAGTACAATATGAGGCATTTCATATGAGAATACGGGGTCATGTCTTGGATTTTTCTCAAAATTCGGTAAATTGTAGTGATAGTGGTGTTGAATTTGAAATTTTTGATATTTTTCGAGATATTTACAATAACAAATTTCAGCAATATTTTTTTAATTTACTTATAACTTTTTTCCTATTAAAAATAAAGAAAAATGTTATAAATGATTTTTACGCAAAAGACCTTAAACTTTTAGAAAAAAATTATAAAAAAAGAATATTAATTTTTAAACAATTTGTTTATAACTTTTAAACATGTTCTCCCTCATTAAAAAGCGCGAAAAAATCATGAATATTGTTTAAGTCATGATAAATCGATGGTTAAAATTTTGAGATGGCATTATTTTTTGTTTTCGAGATATTAATTAATTAACTAACAAAAGTTAATGAAAAATCAAATATTTTACGAACAAATAATATTAGAGTAATTTTAAAAACACCATTAGAATGCTTATCAAAATCCGCATTCAACGAGCCCTATATGAACTATTTTTGATAAACGGGTGTTAAATTAATAATAAAAATTATTTAAATAATTAATAACATTTAAAGAAATGAAGATAAATCGTCAATTCTTTTTTTATTTGGAAGATCATATAATTCTGTGTTAAATAAAACTAGTATAAATAACATTTTTAACAAATTTAAATTATTAACAGATGATTATTTGAAAATTGAGGTTTCAGCACCCTACGACACAAGTTGGAGGAGGCTGCCTACCTACTCGGCATGGTATTTTTCAGTCTTTTTCTAAATAACATTTTATAATTAATTTTTGATTCTTGGTAATACTTAATATTCTTTTTTTGACACAGAATTAGATGATCTTCCAAATAAAAAAAGAATTGACGATTTATCTTCATTTCTTCAAATGTTATTAATTATTTAAATAATTTTTATTATTAATTTAACACCCGTTTATCAAAAATAGTTCATATAGGGCTCGTTGAATGCGGATTTTGATAAGCATTCTAATGGTGTTTTTAAAATTACTCTAATATTATTTGTTCGTAAAATATTTGATTTTTCATTAACTTTTGTTAGTTAATTAATTAATATCTGGAAAACAAAAAATAATGCCATCTCAAAATTTTAACCATCGATTTATCATGACTTAAACAATATTCATGATTTTTTCGCGCTTTTTAATGAGGGAGAACATGTTTAAAAGTTATAAACAAATTTTATTTTTTAAACAAATTGTTTAAAAATTAATATTCTTTTTTTATAATTTTTTTCTAAAAGTTTAAGGTCTTTTGCGTAAAAAACATTTACAACATTTTTCTCTATTTTTGGTAGGAAAAAAGTTATAAGTAAAGCAAAAACATATTGCTGAAATTTGTTATTATAAATATCTCGAAAAATATCATAAAGGCCGTAGCCGGATAAGCAGGGTCCTGCGGCCCCCGCTCAATTTTCGTCGATATTTACAGGATCAATTAGTCTCAGTATAAAACTTTTTTTCGCCAAGTTTCAACTTCTAAAAATAATTTTGAAAAAAGTTATAACATTTTTAAAAAAAAAATAAAAATTGGATTTTCTCTTAAGCGTTTATAGTTTTTTAATCGGGTAAAAAATAGGTTATAGGGGAAGCGAAAATGCATCTAACAAAAATTTGGCGACCATTTTTGTGTAGTGGAAGGAGAAAAAAATTTTTTTTTACTTTTTATATTTTTTAAAAATATTAATTGACTTGGCACAATCACCATATTTTTTTCCTACATTCTTTAACATCCAAGAAGCAACATATTTTTTTGGCAGCTCGATCTGAGGGGTACTTGCCCGTTAAAATTAAAAAAAACTTATTTTTGGCCCCTAAAATGTATGGTATCTCTTGAAAATGGGAGGCCAACATCACCGGGCAAAGAAAATGTTAAAAAGGAAGCAAAAATGCATCTAACAAAAATTTGGCGACCATTTTTGTGCAGTGAAAGAGTTTGTGCAGTTAAAAAATATTTTTTTAATGTTTATATTTTTTAAAAATATTAATTGACTTGGCACAATCACCAAATTTTTTTCCTACATTTTTTAACATCCAAGAAGCAACATATTTTTTTGGCAGCTCGATCTGAGGGGCACTTGCCCGTTAAAATTTAATAAAACTGATTTTTGGCCCCTAAAATGCATGGTATCTCATGAAAATGGGGGGCCAACATAACATAAATATAAATCCTCCACTGCTAAAACTGTTATAATTGAATCGGATAGATTGGCGGAATACTGTGCATATGATTGTGCACTAAGAGTGTTGCAGAACTAGTAATAGTAACGAAAAGTACACGAATAATAAATGTTATTGCATTTATGATAAGTTAGATATACTAAACTTATGTTAATATAGTTTTATATAATTATAATATTAATGAAAAAAGTGCCGTGCACTAAAAATACACTTGACTTTTAATAATTGCCTGTTATTTTACTTAATGTTTCACAGTAAAAAGTAAATCTTATATTAAGGTTAATCTTAAATTAAATGATTTTTGGAAATCAACATAGTCTTAATTTAAAGTGAGCCTTGTATGAATTTAAGGTACTCATAAATCTGAATTTACAGAGTGTTTGAAATTCAACTCCCTTTGAGCCTTAATTTATAAAAGCTAAGTCTTAAATTCAGCTTGGGGCTGCTGCTTTTACCAAAAAATTGCCTTCAATATAGCACATAAAAAGTTCTGAAAATCAGCTTACATACTCCCTTTTTAAAATCAACAATGCTTGTCTTAAAAATGTTGAGTCTTAAAATAAGACTCAATTCCGCCCTTAAAATAAGATTCTCTTTTTAATGTGTTCAATTTCACTCATAAAGCTGCCAAAAGAAGGCACACATTTGCATGTAAAAAAGAAGGGGAAACAAAATAGGGCGATTGTGCCAAGTCAATTAAAAATTTTAAAAGAAAGTAAGAAGTAAAATATATTCTTACACCTTCCACTGCAGAAAATTGAACACCAAACTTTTTTGATACATTTTTGCTTTCCTTCTAACATATTTTTTGCCCGGTTATGTTGGCCTCCCATTTTCAAGAGATACCATACATTTTAGGGGCCAAAAATAAGTTTTTTTTAATTTTAACGGGCAAGTACCCCTCAGATCGAGCTGCCAAAAAAATATGTTGCTTCTTGGATGTTAAAGAATGTAGGAAAAAAATATGGTGATTGTGCCAAGTCAATTAATATTTTTAAAAAATATAAAAAGTATAAAAAAATTTTTTTTACCCCTTCCACTACACAAAAATGGTCGCCAAATTTTTGTTAGATGCATTTTTGCTTCCCCTATAACATATTTTTTACCCGATTAAAAAACTATAAACGCTTAAGAGAAAATCCAATTTTTAATTTTTTTTTAAATAGCCATAACATTTTTCAAAATTATTTTTAGAAGTTGAAACTTGGCGAAAAAAAGTTTTATACTGAGACTAATTGATCCTGTAAATATCGACGAAATTTGAGCGGGGACCGCAGGACCCTGCTTATCCGGCTACGGCCTTTCAAATTCAAAATTTGTACACTTATTTAGCACCACTATCACTACAATTTACCAAATTTTGAGAAAAAGCCGAGACATGACCCCGTATTCTCATATGAAATGCCTCATATATTTCTGTAAAATTTGAAAATAAAAATTAATAATTTGTTACTAACAAATTAATGTAATTGAGGGGCCGCGTACAATAACAACTGCTACGCTTGGTGCAACTTTTTTCTTCATAAATTTTTCTTCTAATTCTAATATTTTAAAAAAATTTAATTTTCAATCCTTTTATCCGCATAAAGATAAAAGTTGCGTTTTTTTATTATTATTGTTATTATTATTATTATTATTTGTACCTTTGTTTTAAGAATGATTTTTTTAATTTAACATTTTAGTGTTTATAAAAGAAGAATATTTTTAAATTTAATTTGTTTATAATTATTTAGTATAAAAAATTTTAATTGATAAATTAAAATAAAAAATGAACACATGTTCCCAGTAAAAGAAACATTAGGGTAACGGGTACAGTGACCGGAACACACTGGGCATACATTCAACTTTAAATGACATTTTATCGGACTTTATTAAAGGTTTAATTAGAAAAAAAAATTATGGTACTTAAGTTTAAAATTAAAAAACACTTCGATAAGAGTTTATAATATTAATTTAAAAATGTATAGTATGAAAACATTGAACGACACCCTTTAATAAAATGAAAAATATTTAAAAACTACTATTTAAGGAGGTTATAGCGGAAATAGAATTAACATTAGTAATTTAATGAAACTTAGTCCACTATTAGATAAATGTTTGAAAATTATGTAGCTAAATTTTTTAGACCTCTAGGTTCTTGTGAAAAAAGTTATAAGCGTTTATGTTTTTTAACAATTAACATTGTGTCTTATGGAAATTAAGTACTTTTTCATACATATTTACTTACCACAAAATAATTAACATTAGGAAATTGATGAAACTTTTTTTAATACAAAACACATATTTAATGATTAAATATCTGTTTAAAAAAGTGTTATTAGGTTCTTGTGGGAGCTGCAATAAATTAATTTTTAAATTTTGCGCGCTAAATTTTAAAATGTTCATTCTGATAGCACGTATGAAATACGCTATATTTAAAAAGAAAATAAAAGTTAATAAATAAAATTGATTATACATTTTTAAAATTAAATTAAAGTTAATTAAATAGAGGGATAATTGTTTTCTGAAAGTAAACAAGTGATATAGCAACCATTTGCAACTCGACTGACGTAATGTGGTGTTGCCAGACGTTTCACAGTACCGAGAAAGTCAAATCATAAAATAATGGTTTTTGTTTTGATTAGTTCAGTCAATCCCTATAACCTCTTAAGTAATATGATATTTATTAATATTATCATAAATTTTATTATTCAGATTTAATGAACAAAAAAAGTTGCTTTTAAAATATAATTATTTAACAATTTTTTCATATTTATAAAATTTGTAATCAATAAAGCAAATTTTTTTGATGTTAGTTTTGCTCCCTACTGAAAATCCCTGTATAAGATCTTGTACAATTTCCTGTACAGGATCAGCAACTGAACTTGTACAAGTTCTGACCAGTTCCTGTACAGGAAAATGCATACGAATTTGGAACAAGTTCATGTGTGAGATCTTGTACAAGATCTGGTGCAAGATCTTGTACAAGAAAGATACTTGTACAAGAAAATGTACGTGATCTTGTACAATTTTATGTATAAGTAATTGTACATGAACACGTTCATGTTCTTGCACATGAAATAGTTGTAAAATTTTTTTTTTAATAAAATTTAAGATTTTGATAATTTTTAACCATTAAGATTCGTAACTCATGCATGCTAAAAACTATTGCGCAGCTGTAAAGGTTAAAGTAAACTATTGCGTAGCCTTTGAAGTTTTTAATTTTTAGTAAAGAAAAACATGAATTAACATGTGCAAGAACATGGACGTGTTCATGTACAAGTACTTATACATGAAATTGTACATGAACATTTTCTTGTGCAAGCATCTTTCTTGTACAAGATCTTGCACCAGATCTTGTACAAGATCTCACACATGAACTTGTTCCAAATTCGTATGCATTTTCCTGTACAGGAACTGGTCAGAACTTGTACAAGTTCAGTTGCTGATACTGTACAAGAAGTTGTACAAGATCTTATACAGGGATTTTCAGTAGGGCTAGAAGGAAAAATTTTGAGGAAAATATAAACATATAAAATTTTGTGTCAACTGTATCAGTTTTTAAATATTTGTATATTAATTAATTTACTAGTGATATTTACTTCAATACTATTATTTTTATAGTATTACGGATCCTAAGGAATTTCAAAGGATCCGTAACACCCTTAATAGCAGGTTTCGTTAACTGTGAGGGTGTTGGTCACTGTACCTTTTACCCTATCTGTAAATAAAGTGAATTTAGCATAAAATTGAGAACAAAGCTTACATAAAAAAGGGTATATGTCAAGGTTGATATATAAAAATTGATGTATAAAATATCTTTAACTTACAGTTAGTACGATGAGCATCGCATCAGGTGCATTTGAAATGTGGTTATCACCAGCATTACCATACATAAAAAGTACCGATTTCAAATTTCAAGTGTCATCGGATCAAATTTCTTGGATTGTTTCTTTATTTAATATTGGCGAAATAATTGGTTTTCTTGTACATCCATTTTTTATCAATCGAATTGGCCGAAAGTATACACTACTTGCATCAGCTGTACCACAATTATTGGCATCTATATTGGTTTTTATTGCTGAAAATGTCACAACATTATATGCGGCACGAATTATTGGTGGAATTGGTTTTGGAGCTGGTTCAATTGTTCAAAATTTCTATATAAGTGAAATTGCTGAAAAAGATATTCGTGGTCGATTAGGAGCATTTCCAGCATTAGGATTTTTAATTGGTACAATGAGTATTCTATTGACAGGTGCATTTTCCACTTATGATGGAATGAATTTAACAATTCTCAGTTTTCCATTAATTTTTATGGTGAGCATTAGTTTTATGCCAGAATCACCATATTTTTATTTACAACGCAATCAAGATGAGAAGGCAATGAAAATTTTAACAAAATTAAGAGGAGTTAACGATTCAAAAAGTTTGGAATTAGAATTAAGTAAAATAAAAGAAGCCATCATTGAAGATAAAAAAAATAAAAAATTTATTCTGCGAAATTTAATTGAGACTAAACGTCACCGGAAATCATTAATAATTGTAGCAATATTAAAAATAGCTGTCGCGTTTTCTGGAGCAAGAGTTATTGCAATGTATTTTCAAGTTATTTTCAGTTACACGGGATTTACCTTGGGCCCTCAATATATCATGTTAATTATGGCACCAGTAGTGGCTGTTCTTATAGTACCAACAATTGTATTGGTTGATTATCTTGGAAGACGATTAATTATTTTGTATTCGAGTATTGCATGTTCATTGGGTCTATTTATTGTTGGTTTTTTCTTTTTTTGGAAGGATCATATTGACTCGAATGATATAAATTTATTCTCATGGATTCCATTAATTGCATTGGTTATTTTAGATATTGGATGTATTGCTCTTGCAGCAACTGCAGGTATACTATCAGTTGAACTCTTTTCCATTCAAGTGAAAAGCACTGCTCTTGCATTGCTATTTTTGGAAGGTCAACTTCTTGAATTCTTGATAAAATTAACTTTTGAAAATATCACCAACAATATTGGGATTCATGGTACTTTATGGATTTATTGTGCATTATGTTTCGGTGTATCGCTTATAGGATTTTATGTTACACCTGAAACTAAGGGCAAAACTTTAGAAGAAATTCAATTATTATTAGACTAGTTGAGAAAGAAAGTAGAAAAATTTTAGAAAATAATTATTATTTCTTTTAAATGCAAAAATTATTGATTCAAATATTATAAATATTTATTTGATAATACTCAATTAACCGAGTATGTTTGAATCGATTAAATTTTTTTTCAGTGTAATTTATTAATGTCTAATAATATCATTTTGAAGAAAATTGAAAAAAATATTAAACAATTAGTTGTTGAATATATTAATCCATCAAAAAGAGAATTTACTCTATTAGTTAAAATCAAAAATGTTTAAATAATGAATTTTATTTTCGTAGGGCGAATAAAAAATAAGTGTCTTATGTTTAAGTGTTTAATTGATTTAATTATTAATGATCCTTGCGTTTAAAATATAAGAAACAAAGAGAACAAAAATTTAAAAAATTCTTTCTCAACATTATAGTTGCCTATGAATGTTTATTTTACTTATAAATTACGCGTTGTTATTTATATATTTTTTTTTTATTTTCGGTATAATCCCAAGAAGCACGTAATATAACCTCAATATCAAGGTAATATTACACGTGAGATTCGTAATATAACGCTGTAATATTACAGTAATCTTACAGTGATCTTAAAATGTCCGCCTCAAGGTAATATTACCGGGAATATTACTGTAATATTAACGGTAATTTTACAGTAATATTAACGGTAATATTACAGTAATATTACAGACTGATTTAAGTTATTCATAAAGCATAAAAAACGTAAATATATTATAAGTCAATTTGGCTTGTTGGTAAAACTCTGAACTCGTGTGCTTTGAGTTCGGGGTTCGATTCCCTGGATGGGTAGATTTTTTTCGTAAAGAAATGTTCCCATAATATTACTGTAATATTCTCTTGTAATATTACCTTAATATTACGGTATAATATTACTGCAATATTACTGTAATATTACCTTATTATTAGCGCGTAATATTACAGAAACATTACCGGTAATATTACCTTGAGGCGGACATTTTAAGATCACTGTAAGATTACTGTAATATTACAACGTTATATTACGAATCTTACATGTAATATTACCTTGATATTGAGGTTATATTACGTGCTTCTTGGGATTGAGGGTCTGGATGCTATAAGGTTATACGCGCCACATTAATTAAATGACGCGTATCACCTTATAGCATCCAGCCCCTCAAGAAGATTCTATCGGTAGAAATTTCTAAAAGTTATTTTATTAGAAACTTATACAATTTTTTAATAAAATAACTTTTAAAAATTTCTACTAAAAAAAATAAATAAATTGTGCACTAAAATAAAAAAAAAATTAATTTATAGGTGTACAATTAAGGACGTTTTATATCCAAAAATGCAGACCTCTAGAAAAAAATATTATTAAATAGTATTTAAATATATGTAGTTTTTAAAAAAATTATTTAGTATCTTTTAACGTATTTTTTTAAATTTTGTAAAACTGATAAAATTATTATCAACGAAACCGAAGAATAGTAATAACATTTTTTGCACTAAAAATAAAAGATTGCAGTTTGCTTTTATATCATTTAGAAAAGTATACATTTTTATCGATAGCTTTAAAAGTTATACATAACAGTAGCTTTAAAATTTAAGAATCTTTTATTTAAAAATTTTTACGTCTTATGTAGTGGGTTCATTCAATTATAACTTAAGCATCTAAGGAGGAGGGGGGGAGGGTTCTTCAGTTGCTAATGCGCCATACATAATTTTTATTTTTCCCATTACAATATATGTTTATTTGGGGGAGGTGGGGGTCCAAAACCCTTGAAAATATGCTTAGGTAATACATAAAATATACATATATATGTCCACCCTTTTTCAACTTTGCTCTTAAAATGCTAAATAATGTTTTTGAAAATTTTCAAAAACAATTTTTGCTGAAAAGTCATGAGGAAAATTTTCTAAAATTCTAAATTGCAATTTTTCTGCAAATAAATTTTTAAGTTTTCTCAAAAGTTATTTTATTGTCAAAAATTTTTTATTTGATTATTTCTCTTATATTTTCCTGTGATTTAATTATTTTAATTTTAAAAAAATTTTGAAAAATTTTTAAATTCTAAAAATTTGAGAAAATAACTTTTCAGAAATTTAAAAATTTTATTTGTATAGAAAATTTTCAGAAACCTTATTTAGCATTTTTGTAGCAAATTTGCAGCAAGCTTTCTGGATAACAATACAGGTTATATATCTTGTCCAATTTTTAAATTTAAATTGACCAATGAAAATATTTCACAAAAAAAAACCGTAAACTGAAATCAAGAATTTAAATATTCTTAAAATATGCGCCAAGAAATCCAAGAATATATTCTTAATTTCAGTTTACGAGTTTTTCTGTGTTATTATTAGTTTCCTTTTGTTAATTATAAGAAATTTATATTATTGTTAAATTGTAAATTTAATTATGTTTTAACTTTTTTATTTTCTTTATTTTTGTTCAATATTATTCTTTATGTCAACTTTTTGTTTAAAAAAAGCCATTAAAATAATATTGGTTTATATGTGTAACAGTAAAAGAAAGTTATCATTTAAAAACTGCCAACATAAAATAATCAATAAAAATTTTGTGATACAGTGAACCATTTGTAAACTTTAGTTGCACAATAATTTTCAGTTCCATAATATAGTCACTCTACTGAACGTATATCGTTATTTGTTATCTTCTCAAAAAAAAAAAAAAAAAAAAAAAAAAAAAATAAGCAAGAGAAGGTAAAATTTAATCTTTTTTATTTAAAGTATATCAAAGCAATTTTTTTTGTTTGTAACAATTTTAAATTTATATACAATATGAGGCAAACATTTCTGAAGTGGACCAATTCAAAAAAAAAAAAAAAATTTCTTTGATCGGTCTGCAATTTTCATAATATTTAGAAATAAAAATTATTGTTTATTAATAAAAAGGTCAAAAATATTTTTGATTTTCAAAAAAAAAATGGAATAAATTTTGAACTTTTTTAAAAAAACTTTTACATTATTCAAAAGAACAGGAAAAAATGTTTCGAAATCATATAGGTCAAATTTTTTTTCACTCTTTTATACAATAGTTATGATTTTTCAAAAAGTCCAGTGTACACATTTGGGCTATTGGTATACTTTAAGAATTTCGCCCCATATATATTGACAAACATTTATATATTTATAACAATATAACTTTTATATTTGCAAAATTGTTCAAGATGTATTTGTCAATAACTTGAAAAATATTCTTGTTATTAAAAACAAATTAAACAAAGTATACACATGTTCATTTCAGTTCTATTAACAAAAAATCTGCGGTCATTGAAAGTGCAGAATTACTATAAAAGAAGAACTAAAAGAGAAATTAATAAATGAAAGGAAATATTAATTGTAACAACATACAATGAATAGCACAACAATATATGCTCAATATTTATCAAATTTACAGCTTTTTCCTGTTTGTGTTTTTTTGGGTATCACCTTTTATAAGAGTTACTTTCTTTCACTAGATGAAGAAGAAGAAGAAAGTCTAGATTACCCTGAACTATTTACTTTTTTTGAATATTTTGATAATTTGGACAATGAATTTGAGATGAAAAATCAATTTTTACAAAAACTGCTAAAAGAAAGTCTACCTTCTCAGATTGAAGATTATGACATACCTAATACAAAAAACGTTGATGAAAAATATCAATACATCATCAAGACAAGTATAATCTACGTACGAGGTGTAGAAGATAAATCTTTAAGAATTGAAATATTCGACCAACCAAAGAATAAAATGTTCCAGTTTTATCAGGATTTTAGTCAAAGTCAACGTTTTCCGTTAAATTACATCGATAAAAGCCGATGTCTTTTGGAAACAGGTGTCGAATTTAGTTTTTTTATAACTAAAAGTATGTATGAGAAATATATTTCACCAATATTCCAAGGAAAAAATTCTCAAATGACAAGAAATTTGGACTTTCCCTGTTCTTTGGATGAATCTTTATACAATAGCTGGACAATGGCACTAAAACAATTTTGTGATAAAGGCATATTTGGTATAAGAAAAGATAATGTTTTATTGGACAGAGTTAAAAAAATTGTCGAGGTAATTAATAATTGTCAAATCGTAGAACTAGAAAAACAAAGAACTGAGAATAAAAAACAAATAAGTATGTTTTTTAGAGAAACATATTTTAAAAAATGTAATGCTTTAAATAATAGTATAAAAGAAGAAGATGTGTTTTTTTTTAATGATATTACTCTATTGACAGATGATGTCAAAGTTGGAAATATATATAGGCAAAAGTCAATCAATTCTTCAGGCGTTACAGATGTTGTTTTTCATATAACATTTAATTCTAAACAAGGACTTATCGATTTAGCTGCATTTAATGAAAGGTTTAAAAATCAATACATTGTATTTCCAGAAGTTGCGTTCATTGTAACATATAAAAGACAATTTAAAGAATTTCTACAAATGGATCTGATGGAAAAACCTCTTACTATAGCCAAATGGAAGTCGATTAGAAAGAATATATATATGTCATTTACCAATAAAGAGAAGTCTAAAAGAATGAAAATTATTGAGAATGCTGCATACCTTACATCCTTAAAAACTGTCTATAATTTAAATGAGACGGAAGAATATTTAAAACAATATATTTTAAACATTGATGATGAGATTATAAGTTCAGTTCCTTCTTATAGTATGCTAGTAAGAGAGATTCAAGAAGGAGAAGAAGATGAAGAATTAAAATTGTCACACATATATAAGCCTTATTTTATGAGTTCTAGTAACATTGTCATTGATGATGTGCTATTTAACAAAAAAAATACATTATATCCGGTTAATTATTTGAATGATGAAATTGTTATGATAAGATATGTTGCTAATGAGTTTATTGATTTGGATGTAATAGAACCTGTATTTAAAAAATATTTGAATGAACCTAAAATTAAGCACAACATTAACTTTTGGCAATACTATTTTATCATTAAAGTTTTTTATGAAAATGAACACGATGATTATTATATACGTGCAATTAATGTTGCATTATATTCACAGGCTATGAGGCAATGTGATGAGGAATCTGCCAATGTTGAAAAGATCTATTATCGTGCTGAGTATATACCTATTAATGAATTCAAAATTTTATCAGAAATTGTAAATGGTACGGTATTAAATTATCAAGAAACCTATGAAATTCATTATACTAAAAAAGAAGCATTGGAAAATTGTCTATTTACTAATTCTTCTTCTGTTGGTAAATTAATTATTCACAAACTGAGAATTAAAAACCAAGCTTTATTATTAGATTTAAATCGTATAATGAATAAAGGTTTAAAAATGAAGTACTTACTTACTCGAGTTATTGTATTGAAGAAAAATATCATGAAGCCGATAACAATTGAAGGTGAAGAAGTTATGGAACTGATAGAAACTGACGACTATATTCCAAAAGAGAAGAGAATAGTTCAACTAGCACGTCTGATTAGTGAACAATTTTATGACGACGAACTTACGACAATGGTATAGGATCAGACGATTGTGATGTTGATATAATAATGACTTGAAATCATATAATGTTATTTCTTTTTCCTTCATAATAAATCTGTGGCATTTTCACTTTAAAAAGTAGTCATCTTATTATAAAACACAATGATAGTCACTTTTATAAGATATTTTCCAAAAAACTATTAAAAACATCTTAAAATGCATTAATTTTTAAGATGTAAGAATGGTTACAGGATCTTTTAAACATTTTAAAAGTGACTATACAATGTAATTTAAAATATTTTTTTTTTTTTTGTATTATTTTGACGATATAAAAAAATTTGTTGTATTTCGTAATACAATACATTTAATAATAATGATCTATGATTGAATATTCTATTTGTTTTATTTTTCTCCTAGTGTTCTTCCTAGTGTCAAAATTTTAAGTCAATCGGAGCAAAATTTAAAAAAAAAATCTGCCCGCTCCCCCTTCGGGGTAGCGGACACATTCTCATCCGCGCTTCGCGCGGGGGGGCTCGCTACGCTCGCGGGTTTGAACGCGCCTTGGGGCGCGAAGAGCACTCCGTCGCGCTACGCGCTCCAAATGTTATGCTAACTCTACATTTAATATTATATTATAATATTTTAATATAAAAATTATATCTAATAATTTTATTATTATTATATAGGATTAATTTTCTTAAAGTTCTTCGACTTTAAGGAGAACATTCTCATCATGGCACTCGCGTTTCACGCTCGAATGTATGATGCGGAATTAGAAGTGTTTTTGAGTATTTGGATTTTTCATTATTTAAATATATGAAACATTTGAGCAAACGAATACATTTAAGGGGTTAGTATCTCATCTCCATTATTTTTTTCAAATAGTTTTTTTAATTACACAATTTATTTTATTTACTTCAAGCTTGTTATACATAAAAGTAAGGGTTATATATACTATTCCCAGTTGAAAAATCTTGTACAATATCATGTACATTTTTTTGTTCAAGTTAGTACTTGCAGTAGTAGTAGTACTTGCACATTCGCGTGATCTTGTACAAGAGCAGAAAACGAACCTGTAAAAAGAATTGGAACAAAGTACATGAACCTGTACAGGTACATTCAAGTGTATTTGTTTGCGACTTTGTGACTGTTGTGTGTGCAAAATTGCAAATCTATTTGTTTCGATTTATAAAAGTTATTTTGTCAACAACATTTTATGTCTATATACGTACGTACAAACATACATACATACATACATACATACATACAGACACACAGACAGACACTTTCGCCGGACCATGTTTTTTTGACTCAGGGCACCTCAAAACGTAAAGATTTCATGGAAATAGTAAAAGTCAATTTTCGACCAATTATAATACCTTCTCATGTGATGAGAATGTAAAAATAAATGCTTTTTTCATTAAAATCTTAAAAACGTAAAGAGATAGATAATAATGTTTAATGGGAAAGTTGTAACTGATAAAATTTTGAAGAAAAAAGTCTCTGGGGTCATTATGCCAAGATGAATACATTACAAGATAATTGAGTGAGAAATTCTGATTTTTGTGTAAAAAAATATAAATAATATGTATATGGAGTGGTTTTTTTTAAATTGATATTTTTTTCACTTGTATCATATTTTCTGATTCTATTATGATGAGAATGTGTCTATTTTATGGACTGATTTTTTTCACCCCATTAATAAAATTAAATTTTTTATAAAAAATGTCTTTTTTGGCGTTTTTTAGGTGTTTTTCGACAATGAAACCACTGTAACTTTTACAATTTTAATGTAATCAAAAAATTTTATTTAAAAAAAATGTTTTCTTCTTCCTGGACTGTAATGCTGTGTAGAGAAAAAAAATTTTTTTTTAAAAAATTAAATTTCAAAATTTTGAAAATCCCGCAGTTTTTGCATTTTTTGATGAAAATGGCTGGCTAACGAACTTAACCTGTATTTTGATACTAACTTTGTGTATGCAAAATTGCAAAACGATTTGTTTCGATTTACAAAAGTTATTGTGTCAACAACATTTTGTGTCTACATACGTACATACATACATACATACATACACACAGACAGACACTTTCGCCAAACCATGTTTTTTCGACTCAGGGCACCTCAAAACGTAAAGATTTCATGGAAATAGTAAAAGTCAATTTTCGACCAATTATAATACCTTCTCATGTGATGAGAATGTAAAAAATTAAGAAAAATTCTTAAAAATTCATGTTTTTTTTATTAAATAACCATCTAAAATTTGTTTATTTTTAAATTTGCAATATTTTCCGATACACCACTTGAAAATGCGATTCCCGTGCCATAAGAAATGTCAATTGTCAAATTTTTTAAATTGTGTTTTAATGTTTAAAAATAATGCCATACTTCAAGTAAAATTTTTGTACATCTGGTTCCGTATATTAAATATTTTAATAATATATTAAATATTATTTAAATATGTAGTTCTCAAAAAATTATTTTATATTTTTTCTATTTTATTAATTTTCTCAAAACTGATAAATTTATCAACGAACCTGCAGTATAGTAATAAAATTTTTTATACTAAAAATAAAAGATTGCGGTTTTTGCATTTTCATTTAATGTATATATATATATATATATATATATATATATATATATATATATATATATATATATATATATATATATATATATATATATATATACATTTTTGTCGATAGCTTTTAAAGTTATTCATATAACTGCTTTAAAATTTAAGAATTTTTTATTTCAAAATTTTTAAGTCTTATGTAGGTTTATTATTTTCAGGAACCACAAAACATTTTTTAAGTTTCAAAAAAGTAAATTAAAGCTATGATCTTAAAGATTATGTTGTAAAAGTTAAAAAATTTTCCACACATTATTCTAGATTATGCCGGGAGTCAAAAACATTAGTACAAAAATAGGAAAATTGTATATTCATTTCTTGAAAACCTTTCCGGTGTTATAATCGCACTAAAAAGTAAAAAAAATTCTTTATGTCCCATTTTACTCGATCAGGCGAAATAACTTTTAACCATTTGATTTTACAAAAAAAATGTTTTAGACAAAAGTTGTTGTCCTCAAAGGGGGACATCCAGTGGTGACTTTGAATTAGGTGATGACCTTCATTAGGTCATTTCAAGATTAACTCATTTTTTTCAAATCGAATCATCTACTTTTTATGTTACAAATCGAAAGAGCAAGAAATTCCACGTTTAAATCGTCGAATTGCTTTCTTTCTATAAATTTTTTTTCAATGAGTAGGTATTTTTGCTAACTTTTGAAGGTAAAATTTTTAAATTCAAACCAGTTTTATAATAATTAAAAATTTATAGCAAAACGATTTGAGAAAAAGTAAATCAAAGCTAGTGAGTAGAGAAATAAAAAATAATATAATAAAAAATAATATAATAAAAAATAAATTGAGACATTATTTATTTACAAATAATATACAAATGCCGTGATAGAGGCGAATAAAAAACTATAAAATTTGTTCATGTCGTTTTAGAAAATTCATCAGCTTCCAAATTGCAGAAGGTGTCACGCCGGAAATTTTGTTTGCTGCCGCAATCTATAAATAAACAAACAAACCTGAAAGAAAATAGTTGTGTATGCAACGAGCAATTTAAAAATAGTTTACTTACAGTTTGTGGGTTTGCTGCAATAAGTTTTTCCCTATCTTCCATTGAAATATTTAAAGAGTCTCTGTATACATTAAAACCAAATTTAATGAATAATATTAATAACTGGATGAAAATTTCCCAACTGGGCCACTTAAAACTGACTTTTAAAATTTTTAATATTTTTTTTCATAATCTATTGCGGGAAGCCGAATTAAAAACATTCCTGAAATGCGTTTTTTAAAAAATTAATTTTTTAATTATTTATTAACAATTGAATATTTTGTTACCTTTCCACTAAATTTGCAATATTTGCAAATTTAAAAATTTAGTGGAAAGGTAACAAAATATTCAATTGTTAATAAATAATTAAAAAATTAATTTTTTAAAAAACGCATTTCAGGAAGGTTTTTAATTTGGCTTCCTGCAATAGATTATGAAAAAAAATATTAAAAATTTTAAAAGTCAGTTTTAAGTGGCCCAGTTGGGAAATTTTCATCCAACTGTTTTTTTCTTTTAATTATTTTTCAATCCAATTATTCAATTTTTACTTACGCATTGTAATCTAAATCCTTTGGTATACGCATTTGTTCATTGATTTTAAGTTCATTAATTTCACACTCTTGAACTAAGACACAACGCTCATAAATTGATTCAATCTACAAATAGTCAAAAAAAATTTTTTTACAGGAAGAATATTTGTAAAAATTATCTTATATAGATAATTTTCTATAATGTATAGAAAATTTAAAGAAAAAAATTATTAATTTGAAAATTAAATCATTACCTTTACTCTATTTGCTAAAATTAAATCTCCTTTGTATTGTCCAAAAATGTCGGGTATTTTTTCTATTAAAGTTTGAAAATCAACGTTATAATTTGTAACACCTAAAATGTCAAAAGAATTTTTCAAATCAGTTGTTGTACTGTTAATTGAAAGTAATTTTGACCATGATTGGTTAGATTTTTTAACTGATTTTAATAATTCAATGCAATTTGACATTTTCTCATGTAAATTGCGTGTTTTTTCTAATCTCTCATTTGAAACAAGTCCAGTTTTAAATCCTTTATACGTGAGTCTTTGATCTGCATTATCGGGTCTCAGTGACAATCGAAATTCAGCTCTACTTGTAAACATTCTATAAGGTTCAGTTGTTCCTGCCGTTATTAAATCATCAATCATAACACCAATGTAACCTTCACTTCGACTTATAAAGAGAGATGGTTTTTTTAAGACCTATAAAGAAGAATAGTAAAGAGATATTAAAAATGTATTTACATATTTAAAAAAAAATTTACCAAAAAAGAAAAGAAAAAATTGCATTTCATTAAATGCAACAAAAAATTGTTTTTAGCAATTTTAAAAGTCTACTTTTGCAGCGGCATTCGCTCCAGCGACTATTCCCTGCGCAGCAGCCTCTTCGTAACCTGTTGTTCCATTTATTTGTCCAGCAAGAAATAAATTAGAAATTCTTTTTGTCTCCAGCTCTGGAGTTAATTCTCGAGGATCAATATAGTCGTAAGTTACACCGTATCCTGGTCTAACTATCAAAATTATAATAATCAAATTATGTTTATTAATTATAAACACTGTTGGACTTAAATAAAAAAAAGAAAATAATTAAACGAACCTATTTCGACTTTTTCTAAACCAGGAATACATCTAAAAAGTTCCTGTTGCTTATCAACTGGCAAGGTACAAGACATTCCCTGTGGATAAATTAACGGTGAATCAAGTCCCTCTGGTTCCAGCCAAACTTGATGTCGATCTTTATGAAATCTCAATACTTTACTTTCAAAACTAGGACAATAACGTGGTCCTGTAACTTCCTCCGTCACGTGTAAATTACAATGTAAATTATCTTTGACAACTTTAGCTGCCATTTCATTTGTAAATGTCAAATAGCAATTCACTTGCTTCTCCGGCTCTAACCATACTTTTTCATTCATAAATGAAAATGGTGTTGGCAATTTGTCCGGTGGATTAATTGTACATTGGGAAAAATCAATTGTTGATTTTGCAAGTCTTGGTGGAGTACCTAAAGTAGAAAAAAAACGTCGCATCTTTGATAAATACTTTAGTGTTTTGAATTATTTCAAAATTTCCCATCGTAGATCGTTTAAAGAAGTTTTTATAAACAAAAACACTATAATTTTAATAACAATGAAATTTTATTAAAAATAATTATATTTTACCTGTTTTAAGTCTTCCCATTCGAAATCCTAAATTTTCTAAAGTACTTGCTAAAGCAATACTGGGCTCATCACCAATTCGTCCAGCTGGTCTCTTTTCTAAGCCAATATTAATTACTCCTTTGAGGAATGTTCCTGTTGTTATTATAACTGTGCTGCTAAATATTTTCGTACCATTCTCTAAAAAAAAATAATGTTCATCAACATTATAATTATTATGAATTTTACATTTATTATGTACACAGTTTTTAAAGGTATCAATTTGGCTTGCAATATTTTGATACCCATAAATGATATCAACTTGATTCTAATTATTTGGATCATTTTTAGTAATGATACGGGAAATTGGGATCATTTTTTGATACCAAAAATTGGTATCATTCCTAAAAATGATCCAAATAATGAGGATCAAGTTGATAACATTTATGGGTATCAAAATATTGTATAATTTGATCCAAATTTTTAGGATCAAATTGATGACTACAGAAAAATTGTGTTCGGATTTGTCTGTAATTATTTTGGTAGCTTCTACCATGAAAAATACTTGACTAACCAGAATTTTAAGTCTCTATCTCATAAAGAAGTCTCGCAATCGTAAATTTATGAAAAAAATGTAATTTTTTTAAATCAAGGTTGAAAAATCAATTTTTGCTTTAAAAACCGTAGTTTTTGTCGAAAAAAATATTGTAAATATGCTATTCGTTAGGAAATTTTTCAAAGGAATTGAATGACGTTGGAATTTTTAAGCTATCTCTTAACGCATGTACAGTAAATTAAAAAAACTGCTTTTTCTTTAAAAGTCCATATCTTAAAAACACCTATAGCTATTTAGCTCAAATTTTCAGGAAAGATAGTTGAAAGTTCATAATTTAAAATGGTGATAAAACAAAATTGTTTTTTTCTTTTTTTAGTTTTTTGACTACACCCTCACAGCACCGAAACTTTCCTAAAGATTTATTTGAAATGTTCGGAATATTTAATTGCAATGTTTAGTGAAAATTGAGTAAAGATTTAAATGTCCCGATTAAATAAATGTTCAGGAAATTTTCGCGCTAAACATTTATTCAAGTGGGACATATAAATCTTTACACAATTTTCATTAACACTGCAATTAAATATTCTGAAAATTTCAAATAAATCTTTAGGAAATCTTTAGGAAAGTTTCGGTACTGTGGGGGTATTTTTACAAAAAAGTGCGATAAATCAATTTTTTTAGTAATTTATTGTAGTTTTTTCAGTTTTGTACGCATGCGCCGTTATAGAGAAAAAATCTGAAGCCAAATTCGAAATCCTCGGAAAATTGAAGGTCTTTTGCGTAAAAACCATTTACAACATTTTTCTCTATTTTTAGTAGGAAAAAAGTTAAAAGTAAAGCAAAATAATATTGCTGAAATTTCTTATTGTAAATATCTCGAAAAATATTATAAATTTCAAATTCAAAATTTGTACACTTATTTAGCACTACTATCACTACAATTTACCGAATTTTGAGAAAAATCCGAGACATGACCCCGTATGAAATGCCTCATATATGCAGCTATGTTCTTATTTAAAATTCTAAACCATCTCATTGATTCGTCATATTTGTTAAATCTAATCAATATCAGAGTACCAAGATTATCGTCAAGACAAAATGTATACCATTTTATTTAATAAATTTACCATCACCTTTAATGTTTACAGCACCTTTTTTTTTGCATGTTATCATATTGAGAAATAAATTAATATAAAATATATTTTGTAAATATTTTAAGAAAAACATACTTAAAATTACTCCACAACATTGAGATTCATCCTGGAGTATTAAATCTTCAACGGAGGCTTCACAAATTTCCAAATTTTTTGTATTAAAAATTTCAGCCTGCAAATGTTGTTTATACAATTTTCGATCAATTTGAGCTCTCAAACCCCATACAGCTGGGCCTTTACTACGATTGAGAATTTTATAATAAATTCCCGATATATCGCAAATTCTTCCACAAACACCATCGAGAGCGTCAATTTCCCTCATAAGATGACCTTTACCAATTCCGCCAAATGATGGATTACATGACATTTCACCTAAAAATAAAAAAAAAAAAATAAAAAATTTTCAAGATGATGAAGTCCACAACGTTTATAATTAACAATTAGAAAAAAAAAATATTTTTTAAGAGGAAAAATTATAAAATATTTTTTAAAAATAATTTTTTGATCAATAAATAAATAATTTTTAAGATGAAAATTTATATAATTTTTCATTTAAAAAAAATATTTCTTTAAAAAAAAAATTGTGAACTTCAGCACTGTAAATTTTTCTATTATTAAAATATTGAAAAAAATTATTAATAAATTACTAATTTATACCAATTGTGCTTTTTTTATGAGTGACAAGTAATGTTTTTGCCCCCATTCTAGCGGCAGCTGTACATGCTTCTGTACCGGCATGACCACCTCCAATAACAATAACGTCGAATTTATTTTCATTATTTTCAAATGTTTTCAAAGAACGCAATGCAATGTAGCCGCATTTTCTTCCAAGAAATGAAAATTTTATTCTTGAAAATGAAATGTTTGACAAATTTCTCAAACCCATTATTATAATTCGACAATGTGGAACATAATTTAATAAATATTTTTAAAAAATCTAAAAATTAATTTTGTACGATATAATTATTAGTTAATAATTTTCTATACAATGAAATAAATCTCATAGCTTCTTGAAGTTTTGGTAAAATTAAATTCTCACACATTTCTTCTTTATTCATAAATTGAATGTTTTCAAATTTTAATAATTCTAAAAATTCAATAATAAAATTAAAACAATTGAATGTTAATTCGTGATAATTATTTGTTTTCCATTTTGAATTTTTTGTGATAATTTCAAGTGTCTCATCCCAATGTAATTCCCATGATTTGGGAATTAATTTCAATGAAATGCAATTGGTCCACTTTGAAAAATCATTTTTTACTAAACCACGTTTATCAAATTCGAAAATTTCACCATTTGAATTTACCACTCCAATATGTAAATCTTGATTTATATTGAAATTATGAAGAAAATCACCGTACGATGGTCTTAAAATAATACTCGTAGGATTTTGTTTTGCATTAATAAATGGATATGGAATTTCAAAAGGTTCCAATTTAAATGTGACAATTGATTTTTTACAAAGTGGACAAATTGATGGTACTTTGTTGCAAAAAATTGATTCCGACAAACAATGTTTAAAGCAAATTATCGTTGGTCGTGAAGTCATTAGATAAAAAAAACGACAAAAAAATTGTTATCACTTCGTACTAAGAAATAGTAATGCAATTTTTTCCTGTTTAAAAAAAATCTAGTTTCTGATAATAGCTTTGTAATCGAAAAAAACGATAATTTTTTAAAAATTAGAAATATATTCTATTGGAAAATTAATTTCTGTTATAAAAAACAGAAAACAAAATTGGAGGTTATGTTTCACGAACTTGGTGAGAAATATATATAGGGTAATTATAGATAACGATAAAGTTTAAATAATAAACAAAGTTGATTGAAAAAAATTGTAAAAACAGTGCTAATTAATTAACATTTAAAAAATAACTTAAAACTTGAGAGTGTTTAATTTGTCACAGAACACAAAACTACACAAAATAACAATTCTTTAAGAATATTTAAATAGTAATTGTAAAATCACTTTTAGTTTTTATTAAAATGTGAAAAAGAACTTTGAAAATTGTCACTTTTTACAATAAATATAACCTGTTACTAGAACATGTCAAATTTTAACAATGATTCTTATGGAAAAATTATGAACTACATTACCTTCAAATAACTTACCGACTGTTGATGTACTGTTAGCGAACGTTAGTCATACGTAAAATATTAGGAACTCAAGGAAAAAAAAGGAAACGAAAACAAAGAAAGTGAAAAGATTGTTAAACACAACATTTATTTATTACAAATAAATAATTGATTAATTAGGAAAATGTTAACTACAACGGGTAACTGAAAAAAAAATCAAAGTTTGACAAGCGTTGTCGTCGGCGAGTAGTTCATGAAATTACCGCGGGAAATTTTGTGTCGCGCTGCAATCGTCTAGCAGCTGATCCACACCACTGAAATTGTTGGTAGAGGTATACAAACACACCTGTACATTATTTTCAAGCCGCATATCTGCGCGGGTGGACTGTGGTGTACGGAATCTCGGTAACGTCGCGACGCTGCAGTGCGTTTCGTGTTCTGAAACGGTGTGTTTCTATACTCGGTTATTCAGTGCGACGATCCCCGGTGTGTGGACGACGAGTCTCTCTCGGTGAGACGATTACGAAAGAGGAGTGAAAGGATTGAAGATCTCTTTGCCCATAGAGTGTAAGAGAGTCTCTCAACGGTTTTTCAACGACAGGTGAGTTTTTTTTTTTTTTTTTTTTAAGGTTATTTTTCATGGTGTGTCGCGTTCCGTTTTGTTGTTGATAGTATCTTTTCGTCTTGGATTAAAGATTTCTTTGTCAGGTTCAAGTTGCACACAATTTGGCACGTGGTCCTCAATATCGACAAATTTTTCTCGTGTATATATAAAACACATACTAAGAGGTGACTGACACCTGATGCGTCAGTGAACATGATACTTGTGTTATTAAATGCAGTTCTTTTTTTGGCTTTAATTAAAATTTTTTGTGCGGTTAAATAGTTGATGTGTGTATGTTTTTTTTTAAATACTGGTGTGGAAAGGATTTTAAGATCAACATAATATAGTTTAGTGTTCTGGTGATATTTGACAGTTGTTTCTTGTGATGTTTGCTTAGTGTTACATTTTTGAGAGGAACGACCTAGGAACGAATGTGCGTCAGTAAATAGAAATTATTACGTCATTTAGACGAATTATAATTATATCTGCGTTATTGAGGGCAGAAAATTTAAAAGATATATTATAATTATTATATGTTTATAAATTGTAAATGTTCAAATTTTTAGGAAGTGTTTGTTTAAATACTTTTTACTTCAATTAGCGTGTGGAGCTTTTGTTTACATTCTTTTACACTTCCTCTTGAGAGTAATGACATGATTAAATAATAAGTTATATTCCTGCAAGTAACTGTAAAAAATTGTTTTAGGAAATTTCTTCAAAATTATGAGTTGACATAAAAAATAACAAAAATTTTTTTTTATAAATGAATTTTTCATGAATTTCTTGTAAAAATTTTTTAATTTATATAATCAAAAAAAAAAAAAAAAAAAAATTTTACATAAGAAAACCCACGGGGGAATATTTGCATGTGGAATCACGTGACCTGACATTCACGAAAGTCATTTCTTAAGTTCCTGTTATTCTTGGTATCAAATTATTTGCTTATACTGAAATTTTAGAGGTGCCTGTCAAAGATAATATGACGAAAGAAATTTATACAAAACATAATTGAATAATATTTTTTTAAATTAAATGAAACTAAAATAAAAATTACATTGTTTACAAGTAAAAATATAATGTGTTAAATTTAATGTCGCATAAAAAAAAGATTTTTCATCGGTTATATAGATTACAGAATATTCTCTCTCATATAATAGTATATATAATCCAGTCCCTTTTAATGGTCAGAAAATACTTTCAATGGAATATAATGTATATTTATTATTCTTTTTATTTGCAAAGTTATAACATGGGTTTTTTTTATGAATGAACGAAATTTAATTTAAAGAACAGTAGAAGAAAAATAAATAATTTTATTAATTTTTTTAATATATTTTAAAAAAAATTAAAATTAAGGTTGCAATGGTGATCCCTAAAATTACTATTAGATTATAGGGACATTTATAAAATTCTAACATAAGTTGGCAATACTGTGTTCATTTGCTTTTGAGAGAAGTTCAAATGGATTAATTAAAAACCACATGCAACTGTCAATGGTGCAAAATAAAACATTTTTCAAAAATTTCTAATAAACATCGTGATAAAATCACTTGAAAGTAAATAATTATTATTTTAAATTAAAAGTAATATTTTGATAATTTTTTCTTTTGTATGTATAATATGAAGGATTAATATTTATGTAAAAACGTTCATTTCAAGAAAATAACCTTAATTATTAAAAAAAGCCCATGGCCAAAAGTGGTATGACAAAAAAAAAAAATTTTTGACCACTCTATTTTATAGGTTAAAATTGACATAAATTGATTTTGATAATTCGTAGCTTTTTATAGTACTTTTTATAGTAAATGAATTTATTTAAAAAATATGATAACATTATATTTATTTTGATTCTATAACATTCTTTTGTTTTTTATAGGTAAATATGTCAAAAAATAGTAGAAAAAAGATTATTAAAAAAAAATCAAGTGCAAAGCCTGCTGTAGTCAATAATCTAACTCTAAAAAACTAATTAAATAAAGTTAAAGTTTGTATATATATATATATATATATTTCTATAAAATAACGTTTAATTTATAAATTTTATTTATTATCATAATTAATAATACAAAACTTGTTAATAATACAAACGTTTTCCAACGTTTATTCTATTTTAATTGTACTTGATGAATTTGTGAATTATGATGGATGAAAAATGGACTGAAATGAATTGTGATAATGGAATCAATCATTTATTTTTAATTTTTATTATTTAATTTATTTTGGTAAGAATTTTATATTGTTAATTTTCTGATCTCCTTTTTGTTAGTATTAATTTTTAATTTTTAATTCATTATTGTAATTTGATAGATTCCCTGAAGAGGAAATCGCACAGATTTCGAAACGTTAGAGAAATATATTTATAACATTTGGTCCGAATGTCTTCGTTTATTTTATTTATCTTACTTAATACTACTCGGATGTAAAAGATTATTCATAATACAAAATTTGTTCTATGTATAGATTAAGTACATTACTGTAGGCGATTGATGAATAAAATGAATTATTTGTTATTAAATACAATAAACTCCAATGATTTATAACAATTTTTCAAGCAGTTGTCAAAACTGGATCAAAGGTATGGCAACAACTGATGCTTTAGTGGTTTAGTGGCCCATAACTGATGAAAAATGTTTTTTAAAAGTAATTTAATTTTTTTAAAATGGTATATATATAGACCAAAAATGTTTTTAATTATCATAATCAACTTAACAATATGCATTGAATTTGATAAAAAAAAGTTATGAATAAATATGTCGTTTAACTACCTCTATATATTTATTTTTCAATAACAGACGACGAACTGCTTAAAGTGTCCATAACTGGTACATCTACCCTAATTGTAGCCTCATATTTTGATGCACTGATTATGAAAATGTTAGTAGAAATTGACGAGAATTTGATTATCATGGTAAATACCATAAAAAATCCAAAATTCATTGTTTTTTTTTTATTTATTTCATAAAAACGCAAAATCTTTATGTGTTTAAAGTTTTAAACGTTCAAATGAACGAAAAAATGTTTACTACTTTTTTAACTTCAAATTTTATTATAAAATATTACTTTTCTGCATATCCAGAAATAAATTAATAATTTATTAAAGATTTAATGTATTTTTTTTATTTTTCATTGCTGTAGTAATTTTTAAGTAATTTATTGATAAAAAAAAATAATTTCGTTCATTTAAACGTTCAGAACTTTAAGCACATAAAATTTTAAAAATGTTATTTAAATATTGTATGAAACTCCACGAGAAATGGGACTTTAAATGCGAAAAAAATATTTGGTTAATTTTAGTGATAGTTTTAGCTTGATTAAACATAACCTAAATTTTTTTACCTCTAATCTCCCTTTTTTCGTGGTGCGTAACATATTATATTAAAATATATGTAATTAAGTATTTTTTAATCAGGGATAAGAAACTGAATTATGTGGCGTTTATTTTAAAAAATATAAAACATTTGAAAAAAATCTTTAGACTGTATTTGTATATCTCATTGAAATTCTTTTTTTTAAATTGTATGCATATTTTTTCTACCAATACTGATTAGTTTTCGAGAAAAATGCAAAAAATAGCAATATACATATATACAATGAAAATAAACATGGTTTATACGTTATATATGCTACACAATTTCAAAAACGCAAACTACCCATATTGAATGTATATTCAATTAGGATTCGTATAAAAATAGAATACACATTTCATACCAGAAGTCAAAGTTTTTAAAACATACGCCATAATCAAATATATTTTATCCCAGTTGCCAATGTTGTAAACTTTGTTTATTTTCCAAGGTGTATTATTATTTTTTTTTTCATTAAAAATTATTCAATTTTGGTAAACCGAAAAATGCTGGCTACATAAAATATGTATTTGCGTATATATATATATATATCAAACTATTTAAAATTTTTTGCGTGAGATGAATGCAAAAATATTTATTTTTGGGCGTTTTTACACTGAAAAAATATATTTGATTGAATTAATCGGTTTTGTGACTATTATCAAATAAATATTTACTTCAATGATAAAATTTTTATTTTAATTAAATAAAGTGTACACGAAAAAAAAGAAATGCTGAAATAACTAATGAAAACCTTGTTAAAAACTGTAAGTAAAAATATCCTTGAAAACAGTAAAAATTAGTACCCGTAATTATTGCGTAATAAAGTAAATCACACACTTGCAATTTTTAGGATGGATATACTTTGGTAAAAAATATTTAATTTTTTAATCATTTTTGTCCATAATACCATAACATATTTTATAAAAAAAAGAACTCTTAAATAATCATTAGAGAATCATTGCGTGTTTGTTATTTTAGAATCTGATTATCGATTGGAAAAAAATATCAAAACGTGTGGATCATATCAAGAAACTGTGATTATTTTAAA